TCCCCTGGGTACTGTGTGAAACTGAACAATAAATGAGTGTTGCAGTAACTTAAACAGATACTGACTCTTTGGAGACATGAAAATAAAAATCTTGTGGCGTTAAAATGTGGCCCTGACAGGTCTATTACACTCCTCACAAAGTCTGATAGTTTTCTTCTAACAGTAGCTCTCTTAAAAATTAATGATGCATACTTTCCATGCTATCTTATTACTGATGCACAACTCAGTGGGTTCAGATGAGATTCCAGCTAGAAGGCTACACCCTTGCAGTATGGGGGATTGGGCTTAGTTCACCAAAAAGCTTTCCTTCTGCATATCTTTTTCTACTTTATCTGCAGAGACTCTCTGGGAGATCTTCCACTCTGTGTTCGCCTTTTCATTTGTCAATATGACTGCTTTAGATCTCCATCTTGAGTTAAAAATTCCACATGATAGCATAAAAATAAGGCTTTTTAAACTGAAATTTTGAAAACACACCAAATATTTCAATCTGTGAAGCAGAAAAAACACCTTTTCCTATAGCACATGTTAAAACTTCCATTAATATTTGAAAAGATCCCAGTAGAAAAGAACTTTTCTCCATAAAGTTGCAAAAGTTACAATACTCAGAGTATTGAAACTCACAGCATAATTGTTATAATAAATTCCCACAGGTTTATTATCACCGACCAACAATGCAGAAAGTAAGTAGCTTTTAGCCTTTCCATTTAACTAATTTAAAATTAGTTAATCTCTGTAGTCATATGTCAAACATGCAAGCCAGCTTTCCAGAGGAGTGTCTTTGTGATTTAACACAACTTCTTGCCCCCTCTCATCCAATTGGCTCCCTCCAGCCCAGAAAAGGCCTGGGAAAAGAGGTAAAATCAGCATTCTGACCCAAGGATGGCAGACTTGGCTGTGCCAGGGGAGTGCAGGGCACAAGAGAGTACAGCTCAGCATCCCTCACCCAGCTGCGGCCTCAGATTTCAGCAGATTCAGGCATGCCAGTGGCCAACGGATATATGCGTGTCCAGTATTCCCAGTACAGATGAAATCCTGTAACTGGTGCTGTTTTTCCCTTTACATCTGAATGATGGCTCACACTGTGTGTGCTTACGCTGCTAACATCAATTGATTCACCTCTAAATAAGAATTAGTGAATATGTGTGCTCAATACCAAGCTGGGCTGGCCGGCTGCCCAGGTATTGGGAGCTATGAGTTTTCCATTACTGGAATGCATTTACTCTCACTGATGTGCAGAATTTGGATTTTATTCTTATTCTTTCTAAATGAAAAAAAACCTGCAGAGGCAGAATATGCAATAGTACTGTGAGGCTGAAAAATAATCACCCAAGTTTGGTCAATAGGACAATGTGCTCACTTTGTCTGGGTGGCAGTTTAGTGAGGGCGTTCCAGCAGGAGCTGTGACATCGGATATAAAAGGAAAAGTTTTGGTCAGCCTTCAAAGAGTCTGAACTCCCAGAAAATATAAACTTATGAAACTCAGTCTTACTTAAGTCTCTCTTGCAATACAAAGGGCGCTACAGAAATTTCCCGGTTAATGAATGCTTGAATTTACACATATTTCAATAATTTACGGTGCTGTTCACATACACTAAAAGCTTCACAGTAAACTGCAGAGTGTTATCTGCTTTACAGAGGGTCCATTTTAACTCTTTCCATACTATTTTCCGTTGTATGAATGGAAAATAAATGAAATTTGTCTTCAAAATAAAAATAAAAAATCAGAAAATCGAGAAACACCTTATCATTCCATGTTATGATTTACTACCCTATTTTCCCTCTTCAGCAGAGGCTTAATTTAGTTTCATTTACCTCATGTGCTTTGAAATATCCCAGAGCCACAAAACTCCAGTTGCAATAAAAATATTTCTGCAGCATAATGTAATAAAAAATGTGACATAAAAAATTAAATAGGTATCTGCATCTTTTTTGGATGTGTGGGCATAGGGGTTTCTTGCTAGCACCTCCCAGTGGAATAACTCTTTTTTTTCTGGAAAACACTTTGGCACTGAGCAGTTTTAGCTGGTTTCATAGAATCATAGAATGCTTTGGGTTGAAAGGGGCCACAAAGACCAACTAGTTCCAACCCCACTGCTATGGGCAGGGAGACCTTTCGCTGGACCAGGTTGCTCAGAGGCGCATTCAATCCAGCCTTGAACTCTTCCAGGGATGGGGCACCCACAGCTTCTCTGGACAACCTGTTTCAGTGCCTCACCACCCTCACAGTGAAGGATTTCCTCACAGTATCCAATCCAACCCCCCCCCCCATCAGTTTAAAGGCATTATGCCGTGTTCTATCACTGCACTGTTCTATCTTGTGAACAGTCCCTCTACAGCTTTCTCACTGTCCCCCCTTAGGTACTGAAAGCTGGTCTGAGGTCTCCCCAGAGCCCTCTCTTCTCCAGGCTGAACAGCTTCAACTCTCAGCCTGTCTACATAGCAGAGATGCTCCAGCCCTCTGATCATCTTAGTGGTCCCCCCCTTGGACCCCCTCCAACAGGTTCATGTCTTTCTTATGTTGGTAGGCCCAGAGCTGGATGCAGCACTCCACGAGGGGTCTCATGAGAGTAGAATAGGAGAGAATCCCCTCCCTCAACCTGCCGGCCTCCATTCCCCGGCACTACTCCCTGGCTGAGCTGAGACAGTCTGCCAGCTGCTTTGTAAAACAAATGTTCATTCTCTCTAAAATCTGTGCTGCGATACCATGCATAAATAAGGGAAATGCATTTTACTGGACGGTGGAAGCTGAGAAGCACATAACCACAGTATACTTTGTGTATATTTATGTTAAAGTTCAACTTTGGATCACTGACCCAGGTGACCAACTCGCAGGCATACCTGCAGTGCACAGACCAACATGTTGGAATAGGTTGGAATGTCCTTGGCATGTAGAAAAGAGTGAAAGTTTTACCTTCATTACTGAATTGGCATCACCCAAGATTTCATACCATAGCCACCCTGCAAGCTGCTAACTTGGCTAACTCTTCATTTATTTATGTAGTAGTTGATGGTTTAATAGTACTTAATTAAGCTCAGCACAGTTAAAACCAGCTAGGCTTTGGCAGCCTGTTGCTGTCAATGTAAATTGAATTCTGCATCATGGACAAGGGAATCAGGACAACTAAATGGAAATTCTCTCTCTTGCACCACCCTCTGGTACTTGGCAACAGGAAACTACCAAATGCTGCTGCCCAATCTGAACTGTCTGTACTAGAAATAAAATTTTCACATTACACACTCACACCACATTTTTTAAAAATCTGCAATGAAGCACAGCTATATGTACAGATGTGTGTATTCACACACATGTGCTCTAACACACATAAATAGGTGTGTGAATATATATATATGTATATATATATACACACATATTTGGCTGTTCTCTCACTGGAACGAAACTTTCTGTTCCTGAAAGCAATTATTTAATCCCAGACAAAAAGCTTCCTGCAAGAAGATCAGAAATATTAGTCTTCAGTACTTTTGAACTGCTCTTGCTTGAACAAGCTTGAATCCCTTTACATATTGGGTTAAATAAGAAATTTGTTGTCACGGTTTTGAACAATAAAAAAATTGTTGCAAGAAGCTACGTGTGTTCCTGGTGGATCTGTAAGCTCTTTGGGAACAATTTTCACATATTTTCCAGCAAAGTTGGACTGCCTTGTCCCAGATTCTAATGCTACCCTGGGGGGATTAAGCTGTTTAGAGTTTGCATCAAGTTCTGCATAGATCCCAGGGAAAACATACTTGCTCATCCTGGCTGCAAATTTTTAGGTGAGAGGTTGAGCTGCTCCTCTGTGCTGTCCACGGGCCAGCAGAACCACACAGTTTTGCAAAGAGACAGCACACTGTCATTTTAAGGGATGCGATGTTTTCCTGAACTAGCACAGGAGATGCCACATTTCTTCAATTCAGGGAAGATATGATGAGCATATTGATGCAAAAAAACCACGCAGCCCGAGGGCCTTAGATTGACGTATTTACTTAATTCCTTTGTGATATAGTGAACATAGTACTTTCAGGGGTCTTGATCAGACTATTTTTAAACCATCTGGTTTGAACCACAAGCTGGTATGACTCTGGCACCAAAGGAGCTAAATAACAAGCTTCCCTGAAGTTATAAGCACCTATAAGACAATTTGAAAGCTTCTAAGTTCATATTTGACAGAGCACTTGTGCATATGCCAATTTAAAGCACATAAAAAGTCCCTCTGGCTTACATCTGTGAAGATGAGAGAGGATAAGAACAGTCAACTTATGAAAATATGTGAGAGAAGATCACTCTCTGGAAATGCATATTTACTAAATATTGTGAAATCATTACCAATACTTCAACTCGACAAATCCTCCAATACAGTGGCCAAAGAAAGCTCTTGCGAATATAGATCTGAATTGACTTAGATATAGAATCAGATGATTTGAAAACTGATGGAAAAGCTATAAAACACTGTAAACCCCAGCAGATGTCAAAGGGCAGGTGATAGCTTCTGCCAGTTGATCTCTTTACCAGCATCTCACACCTGGGGATTGTTTTAACCTTTTACATTTTCACTTCTTCCTAATGTACGTTTACATATTTTGGGGTGGGTGGAGGAGTCTGTTTCTTAAATCTTGAGAAATCAAGCCAGCAGACATCACATGTGGGGGCTCCAGGTGGTCCTAGTTGTTGAGGGTTCCTTTGGCACGTTCATATACCTGCCAGAAGTGAGGATATTCTGCCTTGATTAAAAGCAGAAAGTGGGGTGAGCTCTTACAACCCCTCCATATAAACAGTGAAGGGTAGGGCAGCAGTGAAGGTCCCTTCAGCATCCCCAAATCCTCCCAAGGCAGTCACAGCGCTCATTCTTCTTCCTCATTGGTGTCATTTCCATCGGCACCACTCCTGCACCCAGCACAGTTCTACTCACTATCAACACCTTCCCATGTGTTTACAAGGAGTGGGTGGGTGGGTGAAATAGCAGGGTTCTCCCCTACAGTTTAGACTAGGAAGTAGCTGGCAATTTAGCATGCACGGGTAATTCAATAGTTTATTTTAAATGGAAAACATTGCATCTGCAATAACTAAATTTTCTGTATTTTGAGTATTATAACATAACAAAACAGTGTAAACATTTGAAAATGTAAGAATAGGGCAAAATTACTTCCGTGATAATACAAGGCAAATGTTGGCAACCAGCAGCATCTTAACAGCAACAACAGGAAACAGACTAGGTAAAGCACTAATTTATATAGTATGGTAGAAGTGCAACTGCTCTACAGGCTTTACCACGTTGTAGGACAAGTAAAGGATCAATTACATAAGGTTAAATCTATAAAAGAGTAACTAATCCACAGAATTTGAAAATTAGCTTTACGTACCAATTTCCGGATAGAATGTAAATATAATTTGATTTCTTGCATGTTGCTCAAAGTTTTGTGATATTTGTCTTGGCTTGTATGTTTTTATATTATGTATGAGAAAATGACATACTGTTGAAGTGCCTACTTCTTTTTAAACACTTGCACCATGAAATTTAAGCTATGTTAGCAGTCACTATTCAAAAAAACTCCACAACAAAACAAACCAAAAGTTGTCATAGTAGTAGGGCAAAATCCTGCTTTGAAAAATGAGGCAAATAAAAATACAGATGTGGCAATATAAACATTAAAAATTTTCATAAAGCACATAAAGTTCTATTGCATCAATTCCTTTAGGAAAAAAAGATTTGCAAATGTATATCCAAAACAAGTGTTAAACTTCAGTTCTATAATGCTTGAGTTTAGGAGCTAGGGTGACATTGAATTCTTATGTTCCAGGTAAAGTAATAAGGTTCACTTTAAAACAGTGATTATGGGGCAACAACCATATATATATATATATGTTTATATTTGTAACTGCACCTTTGAGTAGGTCATTGAAGATACACTTATGGTGATAAAATTAACCAAAGGGCAACTACATATTCTGCATAAACTCCTGAAGAATAGCTTGTCAATTAAACTTAAAACAAGTCTTTTACAGAGCAGTTTCATTTCTGAAAATTTGTCAAAAATTACAATAAGAATTAATGAAGCTTTAATCAAACCTGGCCTTCAGATCATTCCCCTAAGAATAAAATTATTTTTTATTTTCTAAGCATTTGACTTGACAAGGAAAACTTATTTAGGAATGTTTTACTGATGAAACAAAGTGATCCAGACATTATAGGAAAGAATTAGATATTATATCTATACAAACCAGACTTGAAACATCAAAAAAACCTGAAAGAACGATTAACTGTGTAAGCAGGTACTAGGGCAGATATAATGTGATTCAAAAACTAAACAATTTAGCTAAATTTTTAAGTTCATTAGAATCTTATTAACCTGAACTGTCTGGAGAAGTTGCTGATACAAGGATTCACTTAACTGTATTTAACACTCAGTTTTTCATGAAGAAACAGGTACCAACGACAAACAGAGCTAAATACGCAAAGCTCGAAGATCCTCAAGTATGCCCTCTTGGAAACCTGAATGAAGAAAAACATAGAAAAAGTTTAGATCATAGAAGAAACCAAAAGACAACTCAGAACTGTATGGTTAATATGCAGGGAATAAAAAGTTTCTGTAGTTCCACATTCGTATTTGCATTCTGCTTACAAAGTCTGGATTTAGGGCATCCACATTAAATGTATGCATTTTTAATACAGAACAAAAGACAATTCTCTTCTTGACAAATCTATGGTACCATGCACAGCTTTATCCTTCCTCTTAGGTCTGAGTTTTTAAATTTAAATCCCTCAAAATATTACAGTCAGAAGAAGAAACTTGAATTGAAGAAGTCTATTCACATCTTCTTAACCACAGCTCTCCAGCTGAGGTCAGGTAGCCAAACTACATTCTTAACTCTCTAAGAAAGGAAGAGACAGAATCTTAAGAAACTATTATTTAGCACTTATAAATGGTCAACCACACAGTAAATGAGATTACCCCTAACCTGGAAAAATCCTGCAGCAATGAAAAATGGATAGGATAACAGAAATAATGTTATGACTGCACCTATTTTTTTGGACTATGTGTCAAGTACTTAGGTACCAACAACCTACTAATGAAAACAGTCCAAAGGTTATTTCTGCTACTAGATTTGATTAGGAAATTTTCCCCCATCATAGAAGAAATTGTTTTTTCATCAAAAGACTGAGCATTTTCAGAATTGTGTTTCACTGAAACCCCAAATATTTTTGCTATGTACAAAAGGTATTATTTTAGCCCAATCTTTCACATCAAGAATGCATTTGAAAGATGGCTTTGTTGAAATGTTTGTATAGTGTCCTTCAAAATATAAGATAAATTCCTAAATGTTGCCTTGGGGAATACACCTTGTAGAAGAAACAATAGTTCTCAGGCCAAAACTACTGAGAATTTTTCTGTAATTCCACTTGTGTGGATCTCCTACCTTCATCTTGTGTTCATACAATATTCTTCCGGTAATGGCAGCAAATATTTTCAGGTGAAATGCTACTATTATTACTATTATCTGTGACGAATTTGCATCTTCTCATTTGCTAAATTTGGCAATGAAAACCACAGGCCAGTATCTCACTACAATAGAAGGAGCAGAACAACAGGAAGAATTGCAGATCGGTGGAAAAGGCTTGGAACCTTCAGTGATATATATGTCTGTTCTTGCATCAACATTTGTGATGATGCAAATCCTTCTTCTAAAAAAATCTTTCTGTACTCATATATACTGTCACTTGGAAGCTGTGCTCTTATGATTGGTCTTAGAAGCCAAACTTCCCTTTCAAAGTAGTTTTTGACCTTGAAAATGATAGGATGACTTTCATGAATAAAGGAGTAAGCATGGAGACTTTTTAAAAAATCTGACTGCAAATATAATACAGCTTAAAAAGAATCTATAAACCTTTTCTGCAAGCTCTGTTTTCATGCAGGTCTTTTTTCATACTGCATTACTATTCAAGTCTTACTCCTGTGGTGCATTTGAGCTCCAGATTTAGACCACCTACCTGTACCACTCTACATATGTGTTAAATGTCAAAACTCCTATTAAATTCAATGAAAATCTAGACAACTTACCCAACAGACTCTACAGAACTCAGCCAGCAGCAGACACCCTGCCCCCACTCCATAACCTGAACACTTCAACAGCCTTAGAGGTTCCAATGGCCCAATCTGCGTGGCCTTGGAAAAAAACAATGTACCCAGCATAGTCCAGGCCCCTAAATATGCTTAGTATCTGGCTACTCCTTTTATGCCAAAGAAAAGTCTGAGTCGGTCCCCAGAGAGTAGGGGATTGTCTTTATATGGGTAAAACCAGAATGAATGAGAATGATTTAGTATTAGAATTAAACATTCAGCTTCTTAAAATGTTAAGTACTTCTCTCACATTGCTTTATTGACACATTCCAGCAAAATAAAAAAAGAAAATTAGGATTATGCTGTGATTTCCTGGATAAGTCATGAGGCTATGCAACCTGGCACATCAGTCACAAAAACTGACCCTTGCTGCAAGATAATAGTAAAAATAATTTTGTTGTCATGAATTACAGAACCAAGTCCTTTCTGCTGACTACATCATGGAATTCCATTGTAAGGTCTTCTCACCCATAAATCTTAGTACACAATAAATTTGAAAACTTACAAGTAATTCTCGAGTGTTCAAATGAAAACATGCACTCTGAAAATGTGCAGCAACACATAGTAGAGGAATTCAGAGCAAAGCTTTTCAGAATCAAATATGTAGGTACCCACCCAACAGCAGAAGTTATTTTAGCTCTAGTTTTCTTTTTAAATCAACACCAATGAAGAACTCCTGTCAGAGGAATTTTTAAAAATCATATTTTAAACCCTTTACAGAAGACACTGTTTCCTCTCAAGGGTTTAAGCATCACCTACCATTATCAACTTGATCCTGCAGCATTTAACTCATAAATAAAAAAAAAAAATCAGAGCAAAAAAAAGTAAAGTTCAGACCATTTGCAGAGACATCATTTCTGTTCATCAGTCCTCAGTGACAGTCACAGACTTTGGACCTACAGATATCTATGCTGATCACTAAAACATATCACCTCTGAAGAAGGACCATGCCTGAACCATGCCTGGCTTGAAGCAGAAGAGGTGAAATATAAGACCCAGGAGTAGAATATGCTGAACACTGAAGTATGATGGCCATAGATGGAAAGCTTCATACAATATACTTTTTCTAGGAAAAGCAGACAACTGATATATATGTTCACTGGAAGAAATATATTCACATAAAGAAAGGAAGGACATATGTTGAAGACAAAGGCCAGATTAAAAGATGCACAGGTTATGTTTTGCTTCTTTATTGCTCTGTTTTTCTATTTGCTTTGTATAACGTACATTTTTGTGCTGTTGCGTCTGTGTGACCATCTTGCTTACATCAATATTTTCTTCTGAATAAATATACTTCTATTTATCTCTGAAACAGTTAACTGTACAGGCTACTCCTTCCTGCATGTTTTACTACTGATAACTTGCGATAGGCATTAGGGCATTAAAACTGGTGCGACTCTTATGCTATATATGTCCTTAATATTCAAAGGAACATTCAAAGGTCAAGCTTGTTCTATCTTGCAAGACTACGATCAACAACCACTCATGATGTAGGCTGAAATATCTCACCACAAAACTATATTTATTCAGTTTGTATGACAGACAGTTTTGTCCTTTGATTAGATCTCAGCACCACAAAAGCATTTAGCCACCCCACTTCATGAAACGATACCAAATGATACACATAGCTTCACGTGCATGGTTTATGGTTTTAACTGCAGCTCAGATTCAAATGAAACGTCGAAGTACAAAAACCAGGTTTATTTTAGTCTGAGAGAAAATAAGCCAATCAAAATAAATTTAATCCAAATGCTAAGTACTAATAAGTACAAAATGCCTTTTTTTAGTGTTGCTTGTTTCACAAAAAAAAAGGCAAAGCTTTATTTGTTAGTGTCCAATGAAACTTAGTTTCTGTTACCTCATTATTTTGCTCTAGAAGCCGTTTCTTTAGTAAAGTGATTCCTTTGTAGATAGCTGATATCATCATCATAATCCAAAAGAGTAGGAACTATTACAGATATATGATATTATTTTAATAAAAGAAAAATATTTAAAATTTGTAGTAAGCATACCCAGTGTTTTCTTTCTGTACTCCAGAACGTCTTAAGTAGAAGGCTTACTTCTTTTGACTATTCTTAACTTTGAATAACCTTCTTCTTTCTGCTCACAATCAAACAAAAAAAAGAGGTAAAAACCAGTAAAGCAAACAAAGCAGTAATATTAAGCTAACAGTTCAACTGAAAAAATTGTTTCTCATGAAATGCTTAGTTGAATGCAAAGTAATTAATAAAAGGTTTTATTCTTCAATATAAATATAATTTAAAGTATGTTTATATCTACAGTGGTTAAATAATTAAGACCAGAGCTAATGGGAAAATACCCTTTTACATGCTGGCAACCATGACTTTCAAAACCAACTTGGTTGTCCAAACTTGAGATATAATGACTAAAGCTTACCCTTCAAAGAAGTGCTTAGCAGTGTCTCCAGTTAGTGCCATTGTAGTTTAATCTGGAGAGAGGAGGAATCAGACTGACAAGCACCAGAGAGTCCATCCCTACCCCAGTGAACAGACGAGTCCCTCTCCTATTCCTGAGACTCCAGCTGAAATTTCCCTAGAGCTGTGCATCCACCTCACTTGAGTCCAGCAGTGGCAGTGTTGCACTGACTGTGGCAGGGAGGCAGTGAGAACTTGCTGTCTCCTGACACTTTCCAAAATTAGCTTGCAGGGCTCAGGCAGGTACCTGTGCTACTTACAGTCTGCCTGGAGAGTGAGGAATGCATGGGGCACTTCTGAATCCTGACTAGGACAGGACAGTGCTGAAGTCCTTTGCCTGCCACTGGGAATGATTCAGACAGAGTAGGGCTTGTGAGCACGGAACTACCTCTGCAACTTGGGCAGACCAGATAAGCAGAGAACTTGTAACTGGTCTGGCAGCATTGTTGGAATGGGGAAGGAGCACTGTCCTTTGTATTGTGGTGGAAGTTTCCCTTCAGGGTACTCAGACCCCTGGGGTTCCTATTCTTGTGACCACAGTTATTTTTAGTTGCTGCTTTTCTTCTCTTTGTGAGACTGACTCTACTGCTGTAGCACTGTAGTGCTGGGCCTGTAACTAGTGACTCAGTTGTGGCCCTGTGGAAGGGCCTTTCCCAGCTGCAGCTGGATGGGGCCAGCTCAGAGCAGCTGGGCTGGCGCTTCCCACACCAACTCCTCTCTTCCCTGCTGTAGCTTGAGCTCCAGGGTATGACTGTGTTCCTGCAGCAGGCCCCTGGGGTTGCTGTACCGCCCTTTTCGGAACTGCACTCAAAGCACAGAGTATGTTCTCTTAATTACAGTTAAAACTTCCAGAATTGTCTTGTATTGGGCTTTAAAAGCTTAACAGAACAAAAAGTAGTTTCTACAGAACGTTGCTGAAATCAAGCCCTTCAGATGAGATACTTACAGAGCCACTGACAATGCCCATAGTTATATTGGCATTATATAGCATTATGTTTTCTGTAGAATCAGAAGATCTGCTTCAGAAACAGTAACATTAAACATTTTAGTAATGTCTTTTTCTGGAAACAAACATTTTAAATGAAGGCCTGAAGTAACATAACCAATGGTTAATGTTAGCTTTATCCTGGTTATGGTTTGTTTTATTCAGAACCAGCTCAAAAAGATTTCTTAGTTTGCCTGTTTTACCTGGAACATGCTGAAATGAAAAAAAATTAGATTTCCTTTTTATCTCTTAATGTAGGTCCTTCTGGACTGGATCAAGGGGTGTATGTGTGTGGGGCTTTTACCTGTCTTCTTCTGGCACAACCTTTCTTTACAGATTCTTCCATATTGTTCTCCTTGACTGATGAAGTCAGTTCTGAGGTCAGTGTTTCACATGTCAGATACTTGTTCCCTGTAATCATCTGAAGTATACAAGTTTATATCTTCATTAGCAAAAAAAAACCCGCACAAAATTTTGAACAAGTTTTCTAATTGTTAAAATTACCTATGTTTTCAAAGGTGCCCTCATAACACGAAGTTGAGATAACCTACCAAATTACATTATGGACAAAAAAGGTGATAAGCACAGGACATTTCACCCATGTGCCCATACATGGGATATTATCCTCATTAAAACTGTACTGCAATCAGCTCAGCTATTTATTTTATTGAAATGCAGAGAGAATCACAGAAAAAATTAGGTTGTAAAGTACCTCTGACTGTCATGTAATCATAACTTTTACTCAAAACAGAGCTAACTTCAAAAATAGATCACCTTGCTTTGGGCCTATTCAGTCAAGGTCTGAGAACCCGAAAGGCTAACAACCTCAAAAACGCCTCTGTGCAACTTGTTCTAGTACTTGACCACTCTCACTCTGAAAATTTTTTTCCTTATGTCCAGCAGGATTTTTTCCTGTTGCAACTTGTGCTTTTTGTGAAACTGTAATTAAACTTCTGTTTGCAAAACTTCCACGTTTGTCTAACGGCACAATGCCTTACACACAGCTGCTGTCAGCATTACACAACTGAAGTTTGAGAGGAAGGAATTACTCCATTAATATGATTTCATTTGAAGACAGACTGAACACCAAACAATTTTACCATGTTAACCACACACACCTTGATAAACTGATAAACTGTCTTAAACAAAGAAAAAAAATTTATCCCACCTTAAAAGTCCCACAAAATAGAAGTGTGTGTCTCACATAACACAGTAAATCATTTTCCCTTTCAGAAAAAAACCAGCAGTGGCTGAAAACATTAATTTAGTAGAATTTTAGAAAACCATACTGAGAATGATGGCAGAACATGATGAAAGTCATGCTCTTTATTGCTTAACGTTGTTTTTGAATATACTGAATTTGTGAGAAGCAGTAAGAATGAGCTCTGTTATTTACTGTACCTGTTCAAAATTAGATTTGGAATGATGACTGGTTGTCTTAGCGATATAGTCCTTAGAATGGCATGATGCTTTATTTTCTTCACTTCTGGCAATGCAAACTATACCTTTGAAGACAGATTCATGAATATTTAACCCCATGCCTTTATTTGATCTCTTTGTTTGTTGCAGTGATAAACTGGAATTTGTAATTTCATTGTCTAATTTACAAATCTGCGAGCGCACTTCCTCTGACTGGAGTTGTTCCTGAAGAACTTGCACGGTATTTTGACTTGCAAACTTTTTTCCCCTTCTTGCACTGGAAATAGGAGATTCATATGCATTCAGACTCAGACTGGTGTTGGATTTCTGAAGCACTGGTCCAACATTCTTAAGAAAGAAAGAAGAATTTGTCTTTTTGTGGTTGACTTCACTTGAATTCCCACCTGAAGTTGAGTTTTCAGAAAAATCAGAGTTAGTAATTTGTCCACCAGACTCTGTTTTCCATCGAAATATGGGTGTACCATGTTTTCTGTGTGTTTTTGTTTTCATTACCTGAAATATGCTGCTGTCAGTAGGATTTTTGACAGGCAAATTTTGATCTTGTTTGAAAACCTGAGTTATGCTGGACTTGTGCACAGTCAGCACAGAAGATGAAACACCCATAACTTTTATTGGTCTTTCAGCATTTTCCCTTTTCTTCCTATCCATTTGATTTGTGGCCTTCCCATTCATTTGCATCAACTTTCCTTTGAAAATTGGTATAATTTTGCTGACTTTTGGGGGAGGGAGTTCAAAGGCTGAGTTTACGGGTATTCCTAAAGATTTCGCAACTGGTAACTCCGGTACTCCTGGTATTTGCTTATTATTCATTGATTTCTCTGCTGCTTCAGTGCTAACCTCTCCTGCGCCCTCGCTGCTACTCGAAAAACTGCGTGTTCCCGGCTCTTTGAGCAAACGCTCCATCCAGTGGCTGTTTTCCGCACTGCACGGTGAAGGAAGTCTAGGCAAAGTCGGATTCCTTGGAGGAGCCTGCGTTAGAGATACTACACAAACCATCTCACCATCCAATTTCATATGCTTAGATTTTATTTCCTGCAATAAAACAAGAGTTGTTAAATTGAATGAACTGGATTTAAAAAGTCTGATAGTGCCACACAATGCATCACGATGTGATATCAACCTAATACATATCACAAGATATAAGCATACATTTTCCTGTTTTGAATCAGAATGACTATATTTTTATACAACATTTAGTTGTCACTATAAATTAAGGGGGTTTTTTTCATCTCCTCCAGTTCTTTGTTTATACACTATGCTGGAATATCGTATTTATCAGAAGGAAACACTTAAATTTAAATTACAGTCATTATCTTGGTTTAGTGCTTTCCAACTGGATAATGTCTACCCCTTTTGAGGTGGTCTGCACAGGGTTTGATTGGCAGGGCTCCTTGTCTCTTAAGACTTCTAAAAGCATCTGTATTCTGAGCAAAAGACAGTTTGGATGTCTATAAAAACTGCAGATGACACAGAGGAGCCATTCTGGCTTTGATCATTGAAGACACATAAACAGGAACTGCTTTCTGAAAGAGGATTATAGCATTTTAGAAACTCTGCAACTTCTGTCACTATTCTTTGTTCAGAATTAATTACTTCATTTCTTTCACTACTACCGAAGAAATTTGACTCTCAGCCTTTGTCGCAATCTCAAATTAAAGGAGTTTTGATTACTTACCTCCTTTCCATCACGAGACATGGAGCAAATCTTACAGCTTGGTTTTAAATGTTTAAGTTCACAGAACTTTCTTTTTAAAAATTAATATTGCTATATTAATAACAATAATTAATTGTATATTATATATTATGTATTATATATTATATATAATTACATATTAGATATGTTATGCACTTATTATTATTATTGCTATTGTTATTGTTATTAATGTTTTGAGTTGGAAGGGACCTAATAGGTCATCTAGTTCCAGCTCCCCTTCCATGGGCAGGGACACCTTTCACTAGACTGGACTGATCAAATCCCTATCCAACCTTGCCTTGAACACTTGCAGGGATGGGGCATCCACAACTTCTCTGGGCAACCTGTGCCAGTGTCTCACCACCCTCACAGTAAAGAATTTCTTTCTAATATCTAATCCAGATTTACCCTCTGTGAGTTTAAAGCCATTCCTCATTGTTCTGTCACTACATGCCCTCGTAATAGTAATAATAGTAATAGTAGTAGTAATAATAACAATATTGTTATCATTGTTATGGAAGAGAGCTGAGAAAGTTCTGGATATCCAACTGTTAAAAAGCATCTATAGAATTGCAAATACTGATAACACCAAGTCCAATTTTTTAATGTATTTGTGATATGAATAATAACATAACAATGGCAAATAACAATGTAATTTTTCCTTCCACATTTAATTAAATGTTACAGGATTGATAGTTATTTGTTGTGAAAAGCACAGTTATATGCTCTTACTGTGCTCTGAATATGATAAAGACCACTTCATACCATGAAAAAGCATCACCATCAATATGTTTATAAAAAAGCCTTACACCCACCAGAGCCTTGGAGAGTTCTTGTGTACCATAAAGTGCTTTACTTGTCATCTTCACTGGGAATCCACATAGTTGTGAAAGATTGCTCTTCATGTCAGAAACAAAAGAGTTCACTACACTTTCTGCATCTGTTCTAGGGAAATACTGCACTGGCTGACTACGAACGCAACTTAAAGGATACCTGAATAAGTGTTAAGCGATACACAACAAATTTCTTTATGTTTCTATAATTACTAATCATCTTTGTAGAGAAGAAAGCATGAACAGGTCTAAAGCTTTTTTAAAAAGGTGAAAAAAAGCATTTAGTTTCTTGCAGGACTGAAGCTTATAAAGTTACAGGACTTCAGCATGACTATACCATACTAACCTACAGTAGTAAAGATTACTCAGTAGAAGTAATCCTTAGTCCAGTCTTTCCTGGTAGGAAAATTCTCTTTAAAACAAATATTTGTTGGCCATGTTTTTACAAGAATTTAACTCTTTCTTTTACATCACCATTTAGAGTGGCATTATCATGTTTACAGAAGCCGTGAAATAAATGGCTCTATTTGACTATTATTCAACACTAGAACAGAGACTTGACTAAATATTTTGTTTCAATTTGTCTAGTGAAACAATTCTCTACTGGCTTCCATAAAAGTACGAAAAAGAAAATGTGGTGCACTCAAAAATGAAAAGCAGAGCTTTGCTAGAAATGTAGTAGAGGAAATGTAACAAATATATTCTGAAAGGATACGTGAAGAACCTTTCCCCTATTGGTTTGAAGTAAACACTCAAGTATATTTTTGTCTCTTCAAGATCCTCAGGAAGAATATAACCATACTTCAAAAAACCAAACACAAATGTGTATTACAAATACAAACTCAATAGGCACAAAGAAGGAAGTGAAAAATCAAAACTGTATATGTTTCTTACCAAACTCTTCCAGTGCACCTGAAATTCTTTATATGAATGGAAAGGAGATTCTGGAGGAATTATATGGCTGATGTTTATGATCTGACCCATTTTCATGCTGTGCACAGGTAAAGAAGGGATGCTTAGAATGAGTGTCAAAAAATCCAGCCAAAGATATACTGGTCTTTTGGAAAAAAAAATAATTTGGCATTGAAAGTATTTACAGATTATTTTTGTTTTGGGGACATTTAGCTCATAAGTTTATGATATAACAATAGCAATACTTCCTGAAGTGTGGAAAAGAACTTGGCATCTACAAGTCTAATTTATCTTGTCCGTAATACTACCAGTGAATAGAGAAAAAAAGCAAATATATCATTGCTTCTCATATTTTTATGATGAAAAAGCATACGTAAAAATAAAGATAGTTTGTGGCAAAGATGGAAATATTTTTTCTTTAAATTGACACTTTCTGCTAAAATTATATTTGAGAAAAACTGATGCTTTTGTATACCACAGAAGTAGCACAAAATTGAAATAATACTTAAATGTGTAATTTATGATTCATCGGTTAATTTTTCTCATTTTCCATAACATTTAGATAATAAAAGAAAAAAATAGATTCCTGAATGTAAAACAGACCGCAAAACAGAAGTGTTCTTATCAGTAGTATCAAGTTCACAGTTTGTAGGGCAAGCATTCCAGGAAGTGTTTATTTCTGCTGAAATGTAAACAGATTCCTACCTTGGCAAAACATAGCACCAGTTACTTAATATGGAATGTTGGTGAATAACTGTATTTTCATTGCTGTCAAACAGCTTTACAGTGTTTTCTGAAATATTGAAATCTCCCAGCTTAAAAAAGAAAAAAGAAAAAGTTCTTTTGAAATATTTCTACAGTCATCCAAAACTAAAATTTTCAAAATTTTTCTTTTATCAGCTCTCACAGAGTGATTATTTTAGAAGACATTCATATTATCAAATTGCACATTATCTTATTTTAGAGCTCACACTTCCATAAGCTATACAAGTACAAGGTTTAAAGTTTATTTAAATCAGTGATATTTAAACTTTATTTGAGATGTTTTAATAAGTAAGAGTACAGGAATTTCTCAAACTGAGAGCTGTCTTACTTCCATGCACATTTTTTAAAATGCAAATCAGAAACCCATGTTTGACATTCTAGTAACTGTGTATGTTACTTTGCCTATTCAGGTGCAAATATCCAAGCAACAGAATTAATGGGACATGCAGTTTCATCCTCTGAGAAATCAAAAAACACCACACATTTTCACAATGTCAATATTTGACTCTGCGGGACAATCAAAGACTGAGACTTGAGAAATATTTTATCTTTCTATGGTCTACCAGGGTTTGCATTTATTCACTGACAGGAAAATCTGGACATTTCTGTTTCAGAAAGGTATTGAAAGGATCAAACTGATAATGAAGCCACATCATGATCACGTCCATCATTGGACTGTGTCGTTTGGGAATTGGATTCCTGTAGATGGCTTTAATGTTTGTGCTGTCCCAAGCACATCTTAGAAGAAATCCTATTCTTCTATTCTAAGAAAGAATTTTAGAAGAAACTGGCAAGCCTGACAAATATGACCCTACACGGACATATGCACCAACGGTGACATGGCTGTCACAATGGATGGTAAATTTTCAACCTCAGCCATGATTTCTTAAACAATTTATTCATTATGCTTACAAGCAGCATACTCCTAGTTGCACCAGTACCTTGGAGGTTGCAAAGAATATGAAGTAGATTCCATAATAATCATATACATAATCATATACAGGGACTTTAAACGTGGTGCTGACAACTCACCTGTAGTTTCAATGTTGTTACTCAAAAACTGTCTATGTATTACAGTGAGACTGAATGCTTTCTAGAAAACACTGCTAGAAGGAAATCTAGAATTACAAAACACTCCACTACTATATTCTGTTTGCATTTTTGAAAGGTCTCTTATAGAATCTCAATTTTATAATGTTTGCTAGAATGTATCAATATAGATACGATATGGATGTAATGCTCTTATAACAGGTGCAGATAGTCAATAACTATGATTACTGTCTCAGTGCAAGCAGAAATAAGCACTTCTATCCCTGTCGTGCTAATTGGATGTCACCTAACAGAAGACAGAGTTGAATAAGACAAACAGAGTCATAGAAAATATAACTGGCTTATACCTCAGGGGGTGGCAAACGAATAGAGCAAGCCTCCACACTGATGCAGAGCTGTCTCTCTGACACATTGAGGTCTACAACTAAAATTAAAAAAAGCACAAAGCCTTGTTTTGAATTACAGTTCATCTGTTAGGCAGAAAGCTAACCCAGGTATTTATTTAAGGTAATTGTTAGTCAAAATGTTGCATTTGAAAATCAAAAGGCTAGACTTTCTCAGCATGGAAATTAAAACCAAGAGCATTTAACTATGAAAGTAAAAATAATAACGAATTACCGTTGCACAATACATCTCCCTAGAAACTCAAGGCTGGATGTGCAACTGGATGCCTCATACTCTTATCTTTCAGTAGGAAAGACTATATGAACAAGGCATGCATTTATTGGCACACCTCCATAACTTTCACCCAGCTTTGAGTTCATCAATATACGTCCCTCTTACAAATTTAGGCTCCAATATCCCCAAATGTAGCCGTAAACTTTTATACAGGAATAAAAATATTACTTAGTAATTTTTGCAGTAGCTAAACAGCATGCTTTGTGACTTCACTTTTGTGAACAGCAAACATAGTACATACTGACAGTCACTATAGCTCATTTTCCTATCTATTATTACAAAACTTTCACATCACTTGCAAGACTCATCATCTGGGGCAAGTATATTTATTTGCAATAATCATAACTTTAAATGGGCAAATTTCAACCTATGGCTGTAGATTAATAGCATTAAAATTACCTTTTTTGTGGGCAATTTTTCAAAGGTTCAGTTGAGCTGACAACTATTACAGCCAGAGTATCATCTGTCATCAAGCGTATTTTGACAGAAGTGATTTCAAAATGAAAATCAAAGACACAAATGACAAGACTGTGGCAGTAGAAAAGTACTTAATTATACCTTGCTCTCTCAAGTTTACCATTAACAGAATTTGTACTTACCAACAGCATTTTGCCTTCCTGAATGAGACAGAAAGTCTTTTCCTTAACAAATAAAATAGATAGGCATTATTTTCTAAACTATGTCTAAAGTCTTTGTGGGAAAAAAAAATAGGAATCACACAGCTTTGTTTGTGTGTGCCAGGAATGCTGAAAGGTGTGTTCCTTTTAAGGAGAGAAAACCTGCTCTATCAATTAACTTTTCACTGATTTATGAACATCTTACATAAAAAAGAAAAATGTGTAAAAGCATATTAGTGGACAGCAATTTATACACTGCTTTTTCCTCCTGGTAAGAAGCAACTATTTTTAAGTGACATAGAACTTTTTTTAATTGACTAACAGTTAATTCACTTCTCAGGATCAAAAGCAAATCTGTATAGCATTACTATGTATTTTACCAAATATTTTTTGCCCAGCTTTAGCAACATAAAGGATTAGACAAGCTGCATGTATCAAGGTCACGTTGCTGTTGGTCGATGCATTTATTGCAATCAGCTTTGTATCAGCTACCATCTAGCCCTCTACTTCTAGCTGCTACTCCTGAATCAGTTGATTTCATTTTGAGAGCCATATATTTTGAAGATACTGAGAATAGGATACTGTTATTATTGTGGCTGGAAATAAGATAACACCGTATACACTTTTCTCAGTGTACATTTGAAATGATGTATACAATTGCTCTACTTATTACCAGCACACCACAGCATCTGAAGAACACATGCCACTGCTGAAAGCATGAATCTGAAAAACAGGTCCAATTTTTGGAAGACATTCACTGTCCAACAATATTTGGTTTGGAAATTATTAATCTGGTACATTGCATTCATCAAATAATTACTTGATCTAGAAGATGAAAAAGTGAATGGTATGTCCATTCATGTCCATTCCATTTATTAACATGAATCATTGAACTTAGATAAAGAAACAATAAAGATGCAATTAAAGAAAAAAAATAAGTCAAAGGAACAAAACAATTTATTATAATGAATGAAATAATTACGGAAATTAAATTATGGAAAATAAATGCAACAATAAAAAACTGGAAACTAAATGCTTGATCCCTGACCCAGGTCAGCCAAATACCTTGCACCAAGAGATGGCCAGCCTTGTTCCATTTGGGTGCAAGTCTGGCTGTAAGTGTATAGGAGAGACAGGTTTGAAGGATGGCTGGAGTAACTGTTTGTGGTCCTTCCAGCTAATAACAAAAGCGTAAAAAAGAAACATACATTATTAATAATTTAACAGATTTTTTCAAAAGCCTCAGTCAAAATTTAAGCAAAATACTGTTACTGCATCTTGGAGTCAAATCCTAGTGTATGTCACACATAATCTACTTAGTTGTAGGAGGAAAGTATAATATTTGATGTAGGCATTTAGATTTCATGCGTCAAAGTAAGGTGCGCTACAGCTCCTATAATGTTTTCACAGGGCTGAAAATAGACTTGGGGAAAAGATCAGTTGAACTATCTGGAGTACTTTACTAGATATGCAACTCTTTCCAGACAATAGGCACAACATCCAAAACTGACATTACCTCTGCTGTCAAACTCAAAGCCAGAGACATTTTCTTGCAATCACAACAGATAAATGTAGCTTTGCTCACCCAGCAGCACCACTTGCCTGACTGTCTGTCCTGCAGAGCTTTCTCTTGATCATTAGCATTGGTCAAGACTTGGTCAAGAAACGAATTATAATGGCTTAAAAAGACTTAACTAATACATCTCCAGAGGGATGTTTCTAGTGAGACCCTGCAAGGAACTACTTGCAGATCATGGTTATTAACTATACTTCATGCTTCTTATCTGCTGGTGTTGGAAAATCTAACAATGACAGGTTAGCTGCATATGTCAACATAAAGCAGTTTTGTGAGATAAGCATATTCAAACAGTATATGTCTTATTAATCCAGATAAGCATTTGCACTTCTTGGAACAAAGAAAAATACACCCAGCTGGCTGTTCCAATGAATTATGAGAGCTACTGGCTTTGATTACAATCAGTCTTTTGACTCAGCAATTCTAGTGCATCCACACATACATTCATAAACCCCCCAGATGTTGCAGTAAATTATACACACAATGCTCTAAAAATATATCAGCTGTTAAGCTCAGGGTTTCCATTTCTTCTCTGTGCTTTTGCTTTGTTTTCCTGTACAGGCTGAGTAAACCCAAAGGTGAATGGGGAGACAGTTCAGCTGCCTGGACATCCCCTGCTGGGGAATATATGGGGCACTGGTGGAGGGAATGATCAGTAGGAGAGCCAAAGGCTTTGGCCCAAAGAGCATGTTGCCAATGCCCCTATGCAGGATCAGGATCCCACCGCAATTGAGAAATCTAGGGAAGTTGTTCAAGAACTTCTAAAAACTTTTGACTCTGACAAAGTATACTAACTATACCCAGACTCATAAAACGCATTTTGTCTGTGGGGTAGATTTTTTCACCCTGAAACCTGGCTTCAGTTCAAATTGCATGGTCTATGAAAAATACTCATTTCTGACAACAGCAATTGCAGGCAAGTGTAACAGACTCAAGAACTGTTATATTTCAGCACTTACAGTAGCTCCTTGTCTCTCTACATAGGCTTGACATATTCCCGAGTTGTAAAATGGTATCTAAAAATAACAATTAAAAAAAAATAAACCAAGTGTCTGGAATTAAGAGGTGTTTTACCAAATCATAAATTAAATTCTGGTACAACAGTGACTTTGCCTTTGAGAAACATGCTCCGGAATAGTTAAGTAAACATTTTATCCTGTATTTTAAAGGAGATAACTAAAATTAGTTCAGGTATCTGTCATAGTGTAGTCTCATTTCTAGCTGAAGATACATTAACAAACAAGGACAAGTCTGCCCAAAACACAATTGCAGAACTCTGCTTCTCTTCTTGCAAATTCGGTGGCATCTTACCAGTTGAGTCCATTCCATTCCACAAAAAGGTTCACAATCCAAAAAGACCATTTCAGTCAAAAGAGTAGAGGACTTAAGGTGTTCTCTACATCACTAATGCACAAAAATAAAAGTTTGCTTTAAATGAAATATTTTTACTTATCCCTGATCCTCAAACAAAACACTTCTGTGAAAAACATACATGTATGTATAAGAATACAATTGACCTCTAGCTGTAGTTTGGTTCAGGCTGATCAAGAAGCAACAGGTCTCACATCTTTGGGATGAACTTGCAAGCCGGAAAGTCCCTGGCTCATGTACAAGGGAGTGAAGGTGTCTTGAAAAATATTTCAAAAGGTGTTTTCGAAACCCAAAAGTACATGATAACCAAGTACAGAACAAGATATCAGCACTAAATGAAAGACATTTGTCTTATCTATACTATTGACTAAGAGCCAACTCCTTCATCCTTTTAATATTAAGATCAGGATGGACTCAATTTGAGCTCTCCCTGAATGCCAGCCTATACGACAGCTAGCCTGCATGGCAGGTGACCCTCCCCTTGAGCAGGGACCCCTCTCAGGTTTTGAGATTCCATACCCGAAACTAAGAGATCCTTCCTTACTCAAGGCCAGGAGAGCTCTTACCTGTGATCTGCAGTAAGTGACTGATAGCATGCTGAATTAATACTATGAAGCATTACCAATCCATGCAGCTACTCAGATACTATAAACATTATATGGATAATTCCACTGAACAGTTGATCAAGTCCAAGACTAAGATTGGATCCAGCCACACCTAGGCTCCAAAAAGGAGTTCAGAAAGCAAGGGGGTCCACTCTGAACCTATGACTCTACTGGAGGACATGTTATTCCTTGTACCTCTAGTCTCTCTCTGAGTCATTCTAACACAATTTTCCTTTGCATGTTTCTTCCATGTAGTAATTACTGAGGCAAACCTTGCCATCAAACTTACCCAACCTTGTCAAGCCACTGTCAAAACTTTGCTAGATTCCATCAAACTCATCGAACTCTGTCAAACTATTATTTTACCTCAATAAAGCATACTGTGGCTTCTCTCTTTTGAGTGAGGTGCATTCTGCACATCTGCAGCAGCATGTAACTACAGATACTTATTTACACAGTGATACTGACCGCCATTACAACTGAAATTTGATTCAGTGTTCCAGTAACAGGTGCAGAAAGGATCTCTTGATACAGGAATAATAACTGTCTATAAAAAAAAAAGAGAGAAAAAAATTTAAAAATAGTTTTACTCACTTGATTTCCTCAGCTTAAATTTATTTTCCTCACCTTCTGCAAATATAATACTTTCCACTCTTAATCAGTTTCCAGTGGTTCAGTATAATAAATTGGATTAGTCCAAGTTACTTGCTCTAGAAGACCCACAGTGGTCTAAGACAAAGACTACAGGCATTGGGCACATAAACAGAACTCTCCAAAAGCATTACTTTTGGCAGAATTTCTCATTTCTCCTCTTTTCTATTAAAGAGAATGACACAATGCATGGTGAATGTTAGGGAGAATACTTCTGCTTTCCAAATATTCTTTTCACTGAGTCTCAACCCACATAAAGCATTCCATTTTTGCAGGTGAACGCAGATTAACTTTAACCATTTATTAATCTGATGTATGTGGCCCCTGTTAGTTTCAGCTGATGAAATTTAAAACCTAATGGAAATTTGTTTTTTCTCCCCAACACTCAGCAAGGCCCCTGCCCAAGAAAAAAACTCTACGTTAAATAATTTTGTACAGCTTGCCTCTGATAAGAATTTTGCTGATTTTATTACAGTTAATTCTAGTACTTCTAATAAAATATTTGAATAGCAACCACCAACAGCTTCTGAAAATAATAGCCCACAAAATTCTTTACCTGCAGGTTTTTATCTGTGTATTCCTTGTCTCAGCTTCTGGTATCTGAGAACTCAGTGTTACTGTAGCAGCACAGAGTTTTTGCAGCTCTGGCAGACTGACAAAGAAGAGAGACTGGTGCCTGGTTTTATTCATGGTGTATAGTTGATTGCCCCAAGGCAGCGCCTGGGTCTTAAAATGAAAAATTAATTCATTTTTATAAGGCGAATATTTGTTTACAGAACTTTATAAGTATATGGCATTAAGTAAATGAATAATCAATTATCTTCTGATTAAGAGTAGGTAGGAAATACAAAAATTTAGTCAACTAAAACAGCTCAATATCCTTTTGTTATATGTAGTGCATCGTACTTGAAAAAAACCATTATTTACAAAAGCCAAAATATTCAGACTAGAGGCAAGGACAAAAGTATACAGAGTACATGCATATACATGTATGCACCTCTGTCATTTTTGGAACCTCTTAAAAAGCACCAAAAGAAACCAGAAGTTCAGACAGAGAATGTGATCCTTTGATACAGTACAAACAAATTTCATGTCAGTAGAAATAATATGAAGTTATAGCTCTTACCTGTCTTGCTGGACACCTGTTGTGTGCTTCTGTGTATTGCAGCACAGGCTGAGCTCAGTGTAATGTAATATTTATGATAAAAAAAAAATCTAATATTTCAGTATTTGAATAAAAAGACACCTTTTAACAATAGCACCTTTCTCAATCAAAGTGTTTCAACGAAAGACAAACAGGTAGAAAGTCTGCTTGACATGAAAAGCCAGGAACAAACACTGCACACCAGAAAAAGATGTTTTAATAGTTCTTCCCTCTCCAAACCCTTAAACACTTTCGGAAAATAGTCTCACCATTGCAGTGAAGACAGTAATAAATATTTTGATTCTAAATTTTATGAAATCACCAGATATTCCCTTGAAAAGCTATTTTGAAAAGCATGATAAAAAATTATGAACTGGAAATATATTTTGAGGACCAATGTCAAAGATAATTCCACTGTTCTGCTTACACTGTAACACATTGAACAAATTAACCTTAGTCATATCCTGGAAAAATCACAAGATTAATGTTTTATAACTGTAATTTAAAAGAAAATAGCATGTTTCCTTGCTTCTTACCCTTATAGGAAAACACATTTCAAGTTTTTACAAAAAGCATGAAAAGAAGATTTTTTTAAGATGCCAGCCAAGACTATCACTTCATCAGGGAATTCCGAAAGCTACAGCTCAAGGGAAAGGACCATTTTAAAAAAATGAGAAAAAAATCTTGTCTTTTTGCAAACCCAGAGAAGAAAGCCCAAGTCCTCTGCTTTCATAATGTTTATTGGGGATTTTTGTGGCAGCAATGTTATAAAACACATGCTGCAATGCTACAGTGCCCTGCTTGTTGTTTGAGGCCAACTCCCCTGTGGGAATCACTCGCTGTGTAATGCGTAAGTTAAATCTTCCCAGACGTCTTAAAAGCTGATGGGACAGAGTGCTTGCAAAAGGCTTCTCCCATCAGGGGAGAGGATAAAGAGAGGAGTACCAGTTAACACAGAACTACCAGTTAAGAAACAACTACCAGTTATAAATCACAGAAAATAAACCCAATTGCCTTCTGTACAAGTAAGAGAACTTTATGTCTGTGGTAGAAATTACACCTTTAGACGCCAATAATCACAACACATGAACTTGAAACCATCACTGAGTTCCTACTAAGCCGAACAGAACTTAAGTCAGAGAATGACTATTGCTGTTTTTCTGTCAGAAAAGGCAGGTAAATCACAGAGCTGGGCAGTGATATTTGCAATTTTCAGTATCAACCTGGAAGATGAAGAGCCTCCTTATTAAAGCTGAGAATACTACCAATCTGAGAGACAATGGCTACTCTTACTGTCAGGCTGACGGTAAAGAAGTAGAGGCAGGACCTGAAGGTGGTGGTGGGGTACAGTGGGGTACAGTGAAGCTGTCCTGCACACACACACACAGAGTACAGAACATCTGTAAGCACCAGCTATGAGGAAAGGCGACAGGTCATGCTGGGTAAATTCTATGCCACAAAAAAGCCCAAACCAAACCCAACCCAGCCTGTAATCACTTTGGAGCGTATCCACGAGACTGCTGCTGTTGAGGCACCCAAGTTGTGTGTGGACGTGACATGGAGATGGGGGGACCCGTATTGGACCGACATACAAAGCCATCAAACACATCCGAGACCAGAGCTAAAGAAACATGTTTTACCTCAGAGAAAACTGAGGGGAAACAGGGTGCTGGGCGGGGGACAGAGCCTGACCGAGAGGAGAAGAAGGCGCTGCTCCCTGAGCCCTCAGCCCAGCCGGCAGCGAGGCAAGGCGCTGTCACAGGGAAGCCTCTCTCCAAGGCCCGCGGGAGAGCTCTCCCAAGGCACGGCGAGGGGCTCCTGCGACGGCCGGGGGTTTTGAGGAGCTGTGAGGAAGCAGCCGAGGCAGGGAGGTTCCTGGAGCCGCCTCTGCCGGGATCACCTCACGGCGCTGCGCGGGAACAGCGGCAAAAGCGCGGGCGCCTCCAGGCGTTCCCGCCTGCCTGGATAATCGAGGGCGGGGTGGGCTGCGAGGGTAACCTCCCGACCAGCGGCTGGCCTGGTGGGACACCGGGCAGGAGAGGGAAGGGTGCTCCTTATCGGCACGGCAGGTTCCCGCTCGCACCTGCAGAGGGAAGACCGGCGGCAGCCGCGGTGGTGAAAGGCAGCTCCTCGGGCGCCGTCCTGCGGTCGCAGCTTGGCGGGGCTCGGCGGCCGTGACCCGCCGGGAAGGTGGGAAGCGACCTCTCGGTAGGGAAGCTCGGCAGCCGGGCCGAGGCAGAACGCGGGGCACGGCGTGCCCGGGCGGGCACGGCGCGGTGGGAGCCTGGGCACAGCCGCGCCGTGTGTGCGCTGTAAGGCAGCCCGGCACGGCGTTGTGGGCACTGCCCGTGCCAGGGATGCCTTAGCCGGGCACGGGCAGCACTTCGCGCAGCCGGAGCGCCAGCCGGCTTTATCGCAGTGGCATAAAGGATGACTTGGATTAGATGTTAGGAAAAAATTCTTTACTGCCAGGGTGGTGAAGCACTACTGGAACAGGCTGCCCAGAGAAGCTGTGGGTGCACCATCACAGGATCTCAGAGCTGCTAGTGTTCTAAGGGACCTCTGCAGATGATCTAGTTCTACCCCCCTGCCAAGGCAGGGTCACCTGGAGCAGGTTACACTGGAACGTGTCCAGGTGGGTTTGGAACGTCCCCAGAGAGGGAGACTCCACGACCTCCCCCGGGCTGCCTATTTCAGTGCTCTGTCACCTTCAGCGTAAAGCTCTTCCTCACGTTGAGGGTAAACCTCACGTGTCTCACTTTACGGCCTGCGAGCGCCGCCCCATTACCTCTGTCCGCCCGCGCCCCCCGCACCAGTAGCGTGACCGACGGTCGTCACGTGGGGGGGGGAGGAGCGGCGGCGGGAGGGGGCGGGGCACGAGGGCAAGTCCCGCCCCCGGGGCGGCAGCCCGCCCGAGCACCTTCCTTGAGTGGCATCTCGCTCCGCCAATGAGAAGCCGGCACGGAGGGAGGGGCGGGGCGGCGGCAGCGGCGGGCGGTGATAGGCCTGCGGTGCGGGCTCGGCTGGTGCGTGAGGGGGGGTTTCGGCGAGTTGCTGTTGCGGAGGTGCGGGGACTGCGGTGCGGGACGAGACGGGACGGGACAGGACGGGACAGGACAGGACAGGACAGGACAGGACATGGTGGGCTCCAGCGAAACCGGCGGCGAGTCGTGGCGGGGCCGCTACTACCGCCTGGAGGAGGTGCAGAAGCACAACAACAGCCAGAGCACCTGGATCATCCTGCACCACCGCATCTACGATGTCACCAAGTTCCTGGACGAGGTGGGTGCCCGCGCTGCCCGGGGCGCTGCCAGAGCCCGCGCCGTGACCCAGGCGGGGCCGGGGCTGCCCCAGGCCGGGCTCCCGTCCGCCTGCCCCGGCCCGCGGGTGCGGCACGGCGGGAGCCGCCCTCGGAGCCGCGATAGCGCCCTCGGGAAAGAGCCCCGAGGCGCCCCCGGCCTCCGGGCGCCTCTCGGGCGGCACAAACCCGAGCGCGCCGGCCGCGCTCCCGTGTGGCCCGCTCTCTGCCTTAAACCTTCGGCTTCCGAATTTCAAGGTGAATTAGCAGGAAATGAGGACAACGAGAAAAACCGCTGGAGTCAATCTTAAGGACTCAGACAAGCAGGCTGTCTCTGTCAATGTTGGGTGCCAAGAGTGGGGCGGTATCCGTCTGCCTCTTGCTCTAGTGCGCCGACTGAGAGCAAGATTTAAAGTGGGAATTTAAAATATGGCTGGGACCCCGAGCCATATTATCTCGTGAACGAAAAGGTCAGCAACTCCTCTTCACACTTTTACAGTGTGTGTTGTATTACAGAACAGGAGGGAAACTTCACAAAGTGGAAGGAAAGTATCACAACATCCAGAATATCGCAGGTTTTGGAGTTACTCTAACAGTCACAGAATCACAAAATGGTTTGGATTGGAAACGACCTTAAAGCTCATCCCATTCCAACCCACCTGCCGTGGGCAAGGATGCCTTCCACTAGACCAGGTTGCTGCCAGCCCCATCCAACCTGGCCTTGAACACCTCCAGAGATGAGGCATCCACAACTTCTCTGGGCAGCCTACGCCAATACCTCACTACCGTAATTGTAAAAAATTTTTCCATATATCCAATCCTTGGTAAAGATACTTGGTCATAGTGGCTTGTGTACATATCTGCCAAATGAATACATCATGGGTGACCTTAGTCCTGTCTTTTTGGCAGGACATGGTAGACCTGGCATTGCATGCAGGCAGCCAGGTTCAGAAAATTAACTCAAGTGTTGCTCCAGGGTCTATGATCTCACTGCCACCCTAATCTGTTCAGTGCCAACAGGCAGAGGGGTGTTGCAGAGTTGCACGAGTTCAGACTCTGGTGTGGAGGACTAGAGCCAGGTTGAATTCCTTTGGTTGTGTTTTACTGGGTTTTTCTCTTCCCCAGTTAGCAGCTGACGTTTTTGATCTCTTGCAGACAATGAGCAGTTGGTTTAATGATTGATAGTCATGATTAATAAAGCAGCATTTTAGTTATTGGACTAAAACATTCTTCTGTAGAGATGCAGAAGTATAACCACCGAGAATTTTTTTTTCCGTAATAAATGGAGCTGGGATTTAGATATTTTGAGTTTTCTCCCTTGCTCCCATTATTCCCAGTTTGCAAAGAATCGCAGAATCAATTAGGTTGGAAAAGGCCTCTGTGGTTATTGAGTCCAACCTATGACCCAACACCACCATGTCAACTAGACTATGGCACTAAGTGCAACATCCAGTCTTTCCTTAAACACCTCCAGGGATGATGACTTCACTACCTCCCTGGGCAGCCCATTCCAATGTGTAATCACCCATTCTGTGAAGAAATTCTTCGTAAAGAAGACCTAGCATCCAATTAAAAAGTGTATGGTAGACTTATATTAATTTCTTAGAAAATACAGTTCAGATGAGTAGAGACATGACAGATTTCAAGCCTCAGTTGTTCTGTAGTACTGTCTTTATTTTTGTGCTTGTAAACACTTGCAATTCAAAGTAGAAACGGAGCATTTTGCAAAGACAGGGTTGACAAGCAATTTTTCAAAGGCAATGTTGACACAGGTAGTATTTCATTCTTACATTGTGTGTCAGTGCAAATTGTTTGGCTTTTCAGCAAGGTGGATTGTGAAACTGATCTGCTGACTCTTCCTTGATTATTTTTCATCTAGCTCTGCCCTGGTCTTCTTCATCCTTTTGTTATGGAAATCTCCGGTTATCCAGGCAGGGCCAGTTTAATTACAGAAGCCCTGGAGGGGAATGAAGATTTTCATGTGGAGTTGTTCTTGAAACTTGATTAGTTCTGATTGATACATTATTGTATTGTATAATGTCCATATTGGGCAGGGGGAAACAAAAAAGCCCACACCTCAGAAAAACCCCAACCCCAAAAAAAACACTTGACAAAAAAAATTGAGGATCTATTGAGCTTTTTAGTTTAAGTAGTTGCACAGCCTCTTCCTTCAGTACATGAGGTGAAACTGGGCAATATTAAGAGGCACTACTTTGTGTAAATTTTTCAAGAAGATCTTAATTTCAGTGTTCAGGACAACATTGATAATTCAGCAGCATATCAAAGGAATTCAGTTTGTAAGCATTTGAAGAGTTGGGTTTTTTGGATAACTGGGGGATGTCTTAAGACACTGGTACACAAGGGTCAGACTTTAACCTCACACTAAACACTTTGCAATAGAACATGGCTGGTGTTGGAGCGGAAATTTTGAAGTCATTCTGAGATAATAAATCAATGAGATTGTTGAAAATAGTTATCTGAAGTATCTAAGTGAAGCTACACTCCTAGGAAAGCTCTTGAATATTTTAATGTTCATTGTGTTGGTGATTTTTGTAATGTGGAACCCTCGGATTAAGATATTTCATAGGACGCTTTTTTTTTTAACCTTCTTTGAATGCTTTCGATACTTGGTTAACTTATTAAGTGTTATGCTAATTCTTTTGACACTGTCAGACACCCTGAGGCATTTACATGTGACAGCTGAGGAGAAATTGGAGCTAGCCTCTTGCTGGTTCACTCCAGAGTACAGTAAACCCTTCTCCAAGTGGGGATTATGTTAGCTGTTTCAATAGCATTATTGGTTAAACTCAGGTTTATTTATTTCTTGCAGCTCCTTGCAGGAGTGGAAAAGCTTAATATATTTTAAGAATTAAATGTGGGCCACTAAAATTCCAGTCTAGTAGCACTAAAAAGGATGCACTGCTAAAGCATCCCCTCACTCATGCTCTTCGCAAGTAGTAAATAAGTAAAAGTATCAGTTTACAAGGGAGTGAAGAAATGGGAACAGAAGCTGACCTCACCAATCCCACTTCTTAAATCAATAAGCAGTCTTTTCAGCTACTGCATTAACCTACGGAAATATTTTCGTATTAATAAAGAAGTTGAAAACTTTACTGTGCTTCCGTCCTGAAGACACCTTGGATGTTCTCACACTTAATAAGTGAAAGTGTGCTGCTGCTTTTTACTCCATTACAGTGCTTAAAGGGTGTATTTCCTCTCTCGAGCTGGTGTCTTCACAGAGCTTGTAGATATTTAGTGGAATGTTTGGTTTTTGGGAACCATCAGCCTCTGTGAACACTTGATTGAAGTTAGATAGTAAATAGACTGGGGGTGGTGATGTGTATGTGTTGAGAGTGGTGAGGCTGAGTAGGAGCAGAAGCATCGCGTGGTGTGACCCATATTAGCTTGGCAAGGCTTCAGAAAGATCACTTGAAATATAAAGTGCTGAAGGAGGAAACAGTTGTGTACTTCGACACCTTATCCTTGGGGTTACTGAAGATGAAGATCCCAGTAACTGCTCTTTTATAATTTTTTTTTTAAATGGAAGATATTGGGGAAAATTCATAACTTGAATATTCATCTCTGAATTTTCTTTGATTATCAAAAGTGTAGGAGAGGAGGTCAAGAGACCTCAGCTTTTGGAGTGCAGTATTTAAAAGGTTTAATTTCTTTGGCATTAAAGACTATGCTTGAAAACGGAAACTTGTACGTTACCTCTGTCATTCAAAGACTGTCAGACCTGTATTACAGAAAATTTGGGAAGCCTTTTCATAGTTTCAGGTCTTGTGGTTTAATCCCAGAGAGTACCTAAGTACCATGCAGCAGCTCCCTCCCTCCCTGTGAATGAGGAGGAGAATCAGAAAAAGGTGAAACTTGTGGGTTGATATAAGAACAATTGAAATAAAGTAAAATATAATGATAATGTAATGAAAAGGAGAGAGAGGGGAGTAAAACTTAAGAGAAACAAATTATGCACAATACAGCTGATCACCATCCACTGACTGATGCCCAGCCTATTCCTGAGCAGAGATTGGTGGCTCACTGCCAACTCCTCCCAGTTTATGGATGGAGCATGATGTTCTGTGGTGCAGAATATCCCTTTGGCCAATTTGGATCAGCTGTCCTGGCCATGCTTCCTCCCAGCTTCTTGTGCACCTGCTCACTGGCAGAGCATGGGGCACTGAAAAGTCCTTGACTTAGGGAAGCACTGCTTGGCCACAACCAAAACATCAGTGTGTTATCAACATTATTTTCATGCTAAATCCAAAGCACTGCACTGTACCAGCTACTAAGAAGAAAATGAACTATATCCCAGCTGAAACCACAGTAAGGTCCGATGTCACTTAAAGGAAAATAGCTACTAGAAATGCATGTGTAATCACAGCAGGATCTCATGGCTATATCTGTATTGCAGATAATTACATATATGAATAACATTAAATATCAATTAAAGGACTAAGTATGTTGGCAATGCCCTACAGTATTTCCCCATAATTTTAATAAAGTAATCCCTCTAGTCAGGCTTTGACATCAATCTAATGAGCTAAACAAGAGTAACTGGGCCTGTAAGAATGAATGGTCAGTATCTTGATCTGCCTGCTGATGTGGTGAGGCTTTTGTGGGAACTTGATTGGATTCTTTAAGCTAGGCAAAAAAGCTGACATGTATAGGAACATCTCTACCAGAGAGGAGATTTTTGTTCTGGAAACCAACTGTGATATGCATTTAATATTAATCTAATACAGACTTTTTTTAGATTACTTCAATTGTTGGTGGTCTCGGAATTCAACAAAAAACAATATTGGTCAATAAATTTATTTTTTTTCCATAAGGTAAGAACTTGTAATTTCACAGCACTTTTTCTAAACAGCATGGACAGCTCTCACTAAATGTGTTTTGTAATGCTGATAAAATAAAGTGCAAAAAGCAAATATTGTTTTACTGTGTCAGGATGAAAAATGTTCTTTCCCCTATGTGGCAATAAGTTACATTCATTCAGTATGACGGTATTGTGGAGGAGTAGCATAATGCCTTCCATGTTTAAAATAGTGAGCAGCTTACATTGAAAGGTGCCAGTATTAGCACATTTGAAGTCTGCCAGTGTACCATATGAATTGCTATTGCAGAACCTTGTAGTCCGAGGCTTAAACCTGATGTTATGACTTCCTTAAGCTCTGATGAAGCTTGCAGGAGGATTTGAAAATGCTTTGAGAAATAGCACTCTTTTTTTGCAAAACGCAGCAAGCTGTAACTGTTTTGTAAGTGGGGAAATGGGCACTATTGTGGTTTAGCCCCAGTGCCCTGCAGCCCCTTGCTCACTGTTCTCCTGCCCGCCCCCAGTGGGATGAGGAAGGGAATCAGGGGAAAAAAAGGTAAAGCATATAGTTTGAGATAAGAACAGTTTAATAACTGAAATAAAATATAATATAATAATTGTAATAAAAAGGGGAATGATGACACCGACCCAGCCTGTTCCCAAGCAGCAGTCTGCAGCTCCCAGCCAGCTCCCCACGGTTTATATACTGGGTGTGGTGTTCTATGGCATGGAATACCCCTTTGGTCATTTGGATCAGCTGTCCTGGCTCCTTCCCAGCTTCTTGTGCACCTGCTTGCTGGCAGAGCTTGGGACACTGAAAAGTCCTTGATTTAGAGTAAGCACCACTTAGCAGCAACTACACCATCAGTGTGTTATCAACATTATTCTTGTACTCAATCCAAAGCACAGGACTGTACTAGCCTCTACAAAAAAAAATGAAACTCTATCAGAGCCAGGACAGGCACCCAGCTACTGGGTACTTCTTTTGCGCTTCATCTAAAACCCTAATGATGGTTTTCAAAAATACACTCTCAGAGGGAGATCTTCTCTCCTAGGCTCCTAACATTTTACATAAGCAGACAATTTCTGTCCTGTAACTTAAATGGGTGATGGAAATAATTTGGAGGACTCTTTTCAGACTACACGAAAGTGCCCTTGAAACAAACAAGCGTTTGTCTGTCTGTCTTGCATAATAAAGCTGATGTTCTCTGGGTGTTTCTGGCTCTGTCCCTGCTCCCTTTCTGCTTCTCATCCCTGTAGTGCAGAAAGTGAAACATGAATTTGTGACTGCCACTGATGGAGACCTTTGCTAATCTCCCTGTAAGTTAAATTGGACCCTAGATTTTATTCCTCCGGTGCGGGAAGGGAAAGGGGGCAGGAACTGCAAATTAAGGTAGTTATGCTTTAATAGTCTTGAACTATGACACTGAGAAATCTGCATGACTGTAGCAATGGGGAGAAGAGATAGCATTCAGGATGAAGTAACTCAAGACTTTTGATCCAGATGAGAGCAGCAAGATTAACTGCTTACTTGCTTTATCTAAAACTTTCTATTGTGCTGCTGTTAGGAATTAGTTTATGCTATGTACTAGCACTGGATTTATACAGACATCTGTTACGCATGTAACTTATTTATGTCAGTATATTGGGAATGTCCTAGGAATGAGCTAGGCTATCTTAATTCATCATCAAAAGCTTTTTCATTCCCCTTGAACCCCAGTTTGCACCTGCCAGAACTCTTCAATTATTTTTATCACCAGGATCTTGGTTTAGGAGTCACTATCTGTGTAGTCTTGTGGGCTTTCCCGTTCCAGAGTCTGTCCAGAGAAACTTCATTAAAGTAACGGTTCTAGTAGTAAGCTTTGTTTACCCGGCAGAAGCATGAACAAAGGCCTTGTATAAACAAACTTCGGGAAACTCATCCAACCGTGGAAAATGCTCAGCTTTTGATAGAAAAGTCAGTTCCTGCCCTTTGTGTGAGACATTACAGTTGCTCGCTTTCATTAGGGGAGGTGAAATATTTTCATTAATTGCTTGTATTTTGTGCTAGTTGTTTGCAGAGGATTTGTAAGTTTGTATCCTTAAAGCAGAGATGCCATCTGAAAGTAAAAGTGTTTAGTTTCAAAGTACTTTTATCTATGTCTAGTAGGTTACTAGTAGCATCATCTGGTAGATAGCTTAAGTTTGTAACTCTGTGTGTTATTCTCTGTACTTAGCCTTGCTTATGTCAGAAAAAAAAAAATTACGTTTTCCAGCTCTGGTGGCAGAGGTCAGGGTGAAGTTGTCCCCTTCAGCTGATAAGTGATAGACATTTAGAGGGTTGGTAGAGAGGGTTGGTTGCAGTCACTGTGGTGACACTAATATTGTGGTTTTGTAAACAGAGGGATGAGTTACTAGTTACACCAAAAACTGGTTCTACAGAGAAGAGCTGGAGTGCCTCAGTGATGCTGCCCAAAGCTACGTGATTGCTTTGTAGTGGCACAAGGGAGGAATTTGGGAACACAAGTTAGTACACGATCATTCTGTAGTTGGCAACCAACCTGCAAGCAGTTTGTTAAAGTACTCTGTGGAGTAATTTTAGATGCACTTATATTGGTAGGTATCCACTTGTTTAGTTGGCTGGTGAATTTTTTTGGGGGAACTAGTATAAACCATGTGATCTTGACTTGCTGGGATAAGTAGTATTTTATGTGCTTGTGTGAATAGGGATTGGTTTCATTGCAGTGCATGAGTATGAGTTTACATGCTGCTGGTGCTTTATGGGATGTTTAACTTTGGTGCCTTTTGCTGCTAGTTGATACCTTGTTTGCTAAGCATGTTTTCCAAGGAGTTGTGCCACCTCTTCTGCTGTAGTTGCTACATATATTTTTCTATTTTGGGGAGCACAATTCTTTAGAATGGTATTAAAAAACCTAACCTAAACAAACCCTCCAAACCCATGTTGCTGAAGAAATTCTTTGAAGACTTAGTTGTGTCAATACCTGGGAGAGTCTATTAGACCCAAGTTCTTAAGTACTGTTTCAAGGCACTGAACTTGAGTGATCTCTAAACTTTTGTCCAGTTCTTTTCCTGAATACTTATCAGAATGGATTCAAGGGCAGGATTTTGGTAAGCCTGCCATATTTGCACGTCTGCTTGCATAATCTTTACTCAGTATGCACTCCTTTAACCTTTTTTGGATCAGTTCCTGTGTCTAATCTCTCTATCAGTTGCTTAACCTTGCTTTTGCTTAGTCATGGTAGGAATCCCTTACCTTAAGAGCTGTGTATCTTGGCTCTTTAAAAAGTATTGGTTTGGGGTTTTGGTGGTTTTTTGTGTGTTGTTTTGTTTTTTTTTTCTCCTCAGCTTTCTTAATCTAGTAAAATAAATGTCTACCTTTACTGTAAAGATTCAAGTTTTGGAGTTCTGGTACTCCTGGAAACTGGTAGTAGTAGTGTTCCCTTCATCTGTATAAACAAATCTTATATTTATTGGAAGAGAAAGTTCGATATGAGAATTGAAGTAAATGCTAACCTGAATTGCTAGACTAGCAGGAATGTTTATGCCATTTATTTTAATCTACTGGCTAAGCATAGCCTTTCTGGTCAGCTATGTTCCAGGCAAGATGACCCTAAATAGTAGAAATTTTAGATTCTGTAGTCAGAAGTATTAAAAACTGAATTGAGGCTCCAAACCTTTTTATTTCCTCTGCCATTGGTAAAGTGCTAATATCTATTCCATGGTTACCTTAATCCAAGGCAGTACTAGTAAGTGTTTTTAACTTGCTTACCTAATCATTCCGTATGTTTATATAGTAGTTGCTTACTTGAAAGTTGAGTGTTGAATTTTGGGCATGTTACTTTTCTGTTATATGAATAACTTGAAGCTGAGGAAATTCGCTAAAAGCATGTGATATATCTTGCTGTATATACAGGCAGAGTTGTTTGATGGACAGAAATGTGGAACTTCATAAAATCCCAAAAGTGATCCTGGGGCAGAATAATAGTTAATGGAGAACAGGAATTTAGGTTAAGGGAATGGTGATGGAGTGAGGTATTAGAAGGTACTGGGAGATGATGTCCCTACGTCTCAAGGTTGTATCAGCGTTGTGGGTTTGGGATTCCGTAGTCTATGAAAACCAAATTGCTATTCTAGTGTCTCATATGACTTTCAATTGTGCTTAAACAGTTCCAACGTAGCTGGCTTACTCGATATTTGTACATTAATTTCTTTTGGAAAGGACCCTTGAAAGTAATCTGGCCCAACCCCCAGCACAAACTAGAATTAAGCTGAAGGTCAGGTTCCTTAGCACCTTGTGTAGAAAGCCTCAAAGGATGGAGATTCTCTGTGCTACCTTGCCAGCTTGTTTTGCCAATGCTTGGTTGCACTTCTTGTGAACAGTTTTTTTTGTTATATCTTCCTGGGATATTCTTGCTGCAGCTTATACATTTTGGCTTTTATCCTTTTTGCTGTATAAAGCATTGCTTGGATAAAAATACGCATTTTCTGTGGAAGTCAGAATGCAGAATATAACTTTGGATAATAGTTGGGCTATTAAAATACAGACTGATCCCCACACAACAGTCTAAATGCTTCAGTTGCAAGGGGTAATGCCTCTTTCTACTTTGCTGCTGATGAAATAAAGACTTAGCTTCTTTGGTTTTGGCTTCAGAGAGTACATAAAACTCTCTAGTTATTTAGAAAGACTTATGTTTTCTCTAGAAGGTCTAGCAGTTGATTTTACCTTTTTTTTTTTTTTAATTTTATAAATGTAAAAATGAAGAATTTCCAGTTCTAGAATGTGAAAATTTTAGTAACAAATTCAAACTCATTAAAAATTGCAGCACCCAGGAGGTGAAGAGGTCCTCAGGGAGCAAGCTGGAGGAGATGCTACTGAGAACTTTGAAGATGTTGGGCATTCCACAGATGCAAGGACGATGTCAGAATCTTTTATTATTGGGGAACTTCATCCGGTGAGTGTGTGAGAGTATCATTACTTTTTTTTTACTGTAGTGTTTTTCCATCTAGTTATTTATCTGGTAATTTACTTCTAAGAAGAACTGCTAGTTTGGTTGGATGCCCTGCCTGCAGCTGTTTGTGGATGGACCTGGGCTGGAGACACATTCCCCCAGTGTGAAGGCGTTTGATTAATGTAGTGTAAGGATGGTCACATTTTTGCTGATTTAAATTGTCTTACAGCCTAGTTCTTGAATAAACTGAATCATGCTATATTCCATGAATATGGAATCATGCTATTTCTGGTGTACCCTGTCAGTTTTATAATGAAACTCTGTAACCCTTGAAGGTGATGTGTCAGAATGTCTAGACCTTTTCCTGTGTCAATATGCAGAGTGACTACTTAACAACCACTTTCACACTTTCATCATTTTAAATATATATCTGCCAGGCTTCCATCTGGATCTAAAAGTACAACCCTGGCTCTTTGTATGTATGTTTAGAAAATGGCTATTATAAGCGCTGTACTTCTAGTTTGAGGCTCTGTGTTCCTTCTCTCTGGCTCCCCCCATTTTAAGCTGTATTAGCGTTCCCTATGTGTGGTTGTCAGGGTTGTTTCTGATCAGTTCCCACCGGATCATCTGTCACTTCCTCTTTTCTGTACTGTCCATACCATTTCCTGTACTTTTAACAAGCACCTTTCTGCTGTCTCAAGTTTTGAAGGATGTATTTCTGTTAACAGAGCTGCTGCCTTGGTTTCCTTCAGCTAGGCCTTCAGTTAAATTCTTCCGCATCTTAACAGTTGAAAACCACTGGCTAGAGGTTTAGGCTGCTAGTGTGCCCATCTGCTCTACTTTACTGCCCATTTCTGCCTCTTCTCTTTTCTGTTTTGTGTGCGTTTTGTCTTGCATTCCAGGTAAATACCACTGTCTTGAGTAGCCTATTTCACAGTAAAATTCTTGATCTTGTTTCAGTCTTATGTCCTCTCTTGATAAATGTTACTAGTGTAGCTTCTCTTAATAAGAAATAACTCAGCTCTGATGCACATTTGTGTCCTTGCAGACTTGCCATGTATTTCAGATGGCAGTTGATGCCAGTAGCATTGTTCTTAACCTGGCTATCAGTCCAATTCTTCCTTGTTTGGCAAGTGCCTGTTTTCATTTGATATGAAACAAACAGTTTGGTAGTTTAATGTAAAATGCAGCACTGACAAGACTATATACTGTTGGACTTTTATGTAATGAATGTGACTATGCCAAGTAAAACTTCACAAACTTAGATCCGTAGAATTTGGGACCTTTGGTCCAGTGGACATTGGACCAAAACTATTTAGTTGACTTTGCCCGATGATACCAGTAGACTAGGTAGAAGTAAACTAATATGACTGCAATCAGTGTGTAAGCTACGGTTATGTGTACTCTCTAGAGACAAAGGAAAGGCAAAAACATGGGCACAAAGAATAATGAAATTTGTTGGAGGCTCAGGTTTCACTTCTTTATTGCATACTGGGAAGTATTGTTTAAGGAAGTAATCTTGTTTATGGTAGCTCAAAATCACACACTGACATCTGCCCTCTTGCAAGTGTGCTTTTGTCTAGGGAAAAATACTTACATGTTAACAGAATAAATTGCCAGCGGAATTTAGTGATAAATGGTGTGGGTTTGGGGGTTTTTTAATGCTTTTGGATTTTGTCTAAATGTTTCCTGCTTGTTTTCCCCACAGGATGATAGACCGAAGCTTCAGAAACCAACAGTAAGTGTGTTTCTTGAAATGCCACATTGTTTCTTTTAGGCAATAGGAACAATGTCTGTGTAAATGGTATACTCCCAGAAATAAAAATAATTCAGCTTGATTTAAGTGTGGTAGGTCAGGTTATTAATCTCTTAAACCTGTTGTTATGGCTTCAGATTATTCTTCCTCTTAAATGTTATTTTCTTTAATTTGTGTGGCTTCAAACCAGGAGGTTACTAAGTGTGATGATATTATACCATAGCAAAAAGGTGGCTATAGAATTGCTGCTGCTGCTGTGTCTATAGAGAATGTTTGCTGAGGGCTGGCTTACCAGTACGGCAGTGTGCTTAGGAAATAGTTAAAGCTTATTTTTAAATGAAACTTAGTAAGAGTAGGATCTTACTCTTGCTGTTTGAGGTAATCACTTTTGTAATATCTACGAATCATATAAATTGGTTAAAAGAAAGAAAGTAAATTTTATATATATAAATATATATATGTATACACACTTTGAAGCATTCACTGTAGCAATTATTAACTTTATTATTAATTAAGGACTGGAATTAGTACACTAATAAAAATAAGAAATGGAGTAGTTGCTGGAATTCTGAGCTTCTTCTCTTCAAGAATAACATCTGCTATTCAGATTTCTTTTGAAATTCAGGGCAGTTTCACTTAAGCTGTAAAAGGAGAAATGATAAATGAGAAACAGACTGCCCAGTGCAAGTTGTAGATAATCCTTTGAGTAAGCTCACCGAACAAGTACTTAGAATATTAATTTGGCCAATGCATAGTCAGTTGGGAGTTAAGATGTATCCAAATAGCTACCTACACTACGCTTGTTTTCCGTCATTCCAGAAGGAATTTGAGGTGCTTTTCTCCAGCAGGATGTGTGGCCGCAGAAAGACGGTTTCATTTTGCATTGTACTCTGGGTGGGTAATGTGACAGGTTCGGTGGATTCTGTGCCCTGGCTCCCTAGGAACTGTCGAAGGCCTTGGGCTTTCAGATGTCCTGCTTGCCCTTGCACTGTATTTGAAGTAACCCTCAGTGTTCGTGCCCAGTGTCATAGAGTAAAAAAAGAGTTTTTTATGAGCTGGGCCCTATTTCTCTTACTGTCTTGGTGTCCTCTAGGGAGGAGCCATCCCCTAGCCCTGGATGTGCCAAGTCTCTTGTAGAAGGTGTTAGCCTTGACAGTGTGGGCACAAGCTCTTCCATGCTGTTTGGCTTTGGTTTTTCACTGAGATGTTCATAAAAGCAATATAGATGTAATTACTGAGTCATATTCTTTTAAACATGGTATTTGTCACATGTAAACCTAGGAAGATTTGAGTGCTTGCAGAAGTAGTGTGCTTGGACCTTTGAGAGGATGTTGAGAATCTTTCTTTAAATCAATTTCAAATGTTCTGATACTGAAGGAATTCATTTTTCAATGATGGATCTTGTACCACCAAATTTAAATAGAGTTTTAATGCTTAGATCTTTAAAATACACTTAGGGTCGTGTTCAATTAGAATTATTCAAATTAGTAAGCCTTCATATAAATTGTGCAGACGTACCCATCTGGGATTTGATCTTGTAGTGCTGCTTTCTCTGTGGAAACTGAACAAGAAGTTCAAGGCAATATCAGAAACAGCTATAACGATTTGACTGACACTAAATACCTGAGTTTAATAAGCCTTTAGATGTAAATTAGTAGCTTTTTTCATGTAGTTTCAATATAAAAAAATATTTGTGAGTTAATTCAGAGTCTTTTCCATTAGATTTTAGTCAAGTAATTGATTTCTGTCTTTTCGGTGACTAAAACTTTTCAAATGTAACCTGAGGTTGAAGTTAGCTTCATGGAAAATTTGCAGCAAAATTTTTCTTGATGATATTGGTTTAGGAACTTGATGCAATGTTGGCTGTAGAAACTGCTGCTAGCTAGCTTCTAATACAACAGAACTGTTACAGGAATTATGAGAAGATGCTTTCCAGATGCAACACTGAGTTGTTTCTAAATTAGTCCTACTTAAAGAGTTTTGAGAAATTGAGGGACTAGTTAAGATGGAGAGGGGTGTCTGCCTGATGTAAATAACTTTTTATGCTTTGCTTTCCAGGAAACTCTTATCACCACTGTTCAGTCTACTTCCAGGTACAGTATGACACCTTATGTCAATCTTGAAGTTCCTGTGCCTGTGTTTCTAAAGCTTAGAAAGCTGAATAGCTTTTAACTGCTGGAAGCTTAGATGTCAGAGGATGGTGCATGAAAATTTATGTTCTGTGTAGAGTCCAAGCTGGCATCTATGTACCACTTTACAAGTATGTCAGCTTACTAGGTAGATATTTTTCTCATATTGACATGTGTCAGTATCTAACAAATGGTTTATTTTGCACAAGCCTTTATTTCTGAAGTCTGCCAAGTGAATGGAAGACACTTGGTGCCATTGCCAACTATTTTACTGATGTGGATGCCTCGCTTTTAAAATTTGCTATTGCTGTTGTGTCTGAGGGAAATAAGAGGATTCTGTGTATAAGAAGAAGAATGTTTCAGAATTGAGAGGGGGTTGGAAAACACTTTGGAACACCACTGAATCAAACTCTGTAAAGTTATGTCCTGCTGACAATTGCCTACTGCTGAAACCTCAGAGCACTGTTCCATGCCCCTCTGGGTGAGGAGCTTGAGTGCTTTTTAAGTGTCATGTGATGCTGCTACTTAAATCGCTTTTGAATGAATGATATTCTGGGCAGCAGGCCATGACTTTAAACATGTCTAGGGTTTTACTCTTCTCCAGTAAGCAAACTTCTTGTAAGCTCTAGTACAAAGCCTTAACAGTACAAACTTTTTTACTTGTGTAGAGTATTAGTGGCAAGCCCAGGTGTTCTGTTGCCCTGAATTTTAAGTATTTATTGGAGTGGGGAGGAAGGACTTCTTTAAGCAGTTACTTATTTTTTCTTTTTTTTTTCTTTTCTAACTCGCTGTTTGTCACTTCCTAAACTGATGTTTAAAAAACTTCCTTCTAGTTCGTGGTCCAACTGGGTGATCCCAGCAATAGCAGCAATTATTGTGGCCCTGATGTACCGTTCCTACATGTCAGAGTAAGCGCCTTATGGAGAACTAAGGCAAGAAGAGAATACATTCTCTGGAAGAGAATATAAGCAATCCTAACCCAATATGTTTCTGGACGAAAGCCTCGTGTCTGAAAAAAAATTCAGCTTTTTCAGAAAACTGAAAAATTCTTTTCTGCTGTGCACTTTTCTTAATGTTGCCTTCTGATGTGCTGCTCTGAAGTGATAAAAAGGCAGCATTTCTCTTTTTGTATAACAATTTTATTCTCTAATGAATTATTGGATAACTGTATTGGTTTCTATGTTAGAATATTGTTTTATATGTAACACTGATTCTGGTTATTTCTCTTTAATCTGTAATGGGGTCCATAGGACTCTCTTTACATATACATTTTACAGCTTTAAATGACTACCAAAACTGTGTACATGTATTTGTCTATGTATACAAATTAACTTAAAAAATCATGTTGTCTTCTTAAATGTAGTATGTTTGAATGAAATGCAAATTAAATGTAATGAATAAAACTGAGTGGAGTAGTGGTTATAGGTGCCTGTAAGCCGTTGGGCCCTACCAGTCAGGCTATAATGAGCTGATTTTTTTACATTTCTTCTGGCATCTGCTCTTATAGTTGTTGTCGATACTCCTACTAGCAAACTGTTCTGTTTGTATCCTGTTGAAAAATTGAGGTGAAATGTGAAACTCAATGTTTGGCCCAATTATGTCTGTCTCACTTACGTGAAAAATATATATTTTTTTCGAAAAAGGCAGAAAAAAGTAACTGCTACTAAATAGTACTACTCCTGCCAAACACTCAGGTGACTGTAAAATTTGTTCTGGGACTTTCAGGCTTTGGTAAAATCTTTAACTTTGTCATGTACATTGTGAGCGGGGAAAAAAATGATAGATGAAATCTATTTCTGACTCTTCTGTGATGTGCTCCTTGGTGTTTTACTCCAAAGAGATGACTATTTTCAGCCCTCAATATACAAGATAACTGAAAGTTTGCATTTTGTGGTGAACATTTTTAGTCATGTGTAAATGATCATGAATAAAAGTTTAACTACTTACACCTGCTGGCTCAAACACGTTCGTTTCAAACTTTTTGAAGGCCTTGAAAGGGATGTCATATCGGGACACTTTTCAGAAGTACTTGTTTGATGGTGCGTCCTCAAGGTCAGGATAAGTTCCTAATTCAGGGAAGTGTAAGAAGTGAAAAAGTGTATCATGGAACAGTGGCATAGATAGGCGTTTTCATCAGCATGACCTTAACACCAACTAGTGACTTAGCAGTGGTTTGGCCCTGCAAGCTCTGCCTCACTGATCTTCATCAGGACTTGAAGCACTATTCCAAGGGCTGCTACTTGCAGCACCAGGGAAGATATGTGCAGTTTAGGGCCAGTGTCAAGCCAAATCAAATTGGAAGATAGTACACTCTAAACATGAGCTTTAAAAAATAGATAAATAAATAATTGGGGGAGGGAAAGTGCTGTGACTTCAGGAGATTGTCTTTTGCATGTGCAGGAATATGTCAGTACAGGAATCTTTAGAGAATTTCTTACTGTGGGTTTCCTTTTGTGGGAATTCCTTTACTGTTATAGCAAAAAAGGTTATCAAATAGCTTCAACTAGAAAGCATTAAGTATTTTGTACATTGGTATTCATGTGAACTGTCAGATTTGGTTTACGGTTACAGATGTGCACTTACAGTAGATCCCATCAACTTCTTTATTTTGCTAATTTTAACCTGCAGTATAAATGGCAGTGTTTGGCTTTGTGTCTAGCATTAACTTTTTTTGTCCTGGTTTTGCCCTAGCTTTTCTTCTGAATGTAGTGGAAAAGAGTTTAAAAATTCAGGCTTTATTGATGTTTTTATAGATAACTTTTAGAAAGGATATAGTAACTGACAGGTGGTATATAGAATCACAAATCGAGTTTCAAGTATTGAATTCTCTGTGTTTTTAAAACATCATTCAAGTCCATATTCCTAGGTGAGGCAAAAAAAACGAAAAAAGGCAACTTTAGAAAGCTTAGCTTCACCCTGCCAAGAATTTTAGGCTGGGATAAGTATGTCTGCATCAGCAGACAAGGTACTGCAATCAAAGTGGATCCATAAGGCAAAACACTTGCAGTGAAAGGCCTTTTTTCCATGCTGTGTATGTTTTTGGAGTTTTAATATGATACAGCTCTGTTTGGATCCCACTTACTGGATATTCGTTTATGCAGTCCTCTGGAGTAATGATGCAAACTCAGTCCCATCTAAAAGTAGTCAAGCTGGCATATGCAGGGAATTTCTACAATGTGAACCAAAAGCATTGTGAGTGGAGGTAAATAGGCAATGCTTCAAAAACTGATACGAGTTAAAATGCTAATGCGCAGCTTGTTCCCTGTAGTGGGTCTGTTTGTATTCCCCTCTACTGGTGCAGATATAAGTTGTTCCTCAGAGATACACATTCCTTTCAGGTTTTTAAATGTAAACTGGTTTTCTAAACTGATATAAGTGTGTCAACTAAAAAAAATTATAAGTCTTATTTTCCTCTTAAATATACTAAGGTTAGAGTTGCTTTCCTTAGGGTTGTCATACAGGAATTTTTATGTGAGTTTAGCTTTTGAATATAAAAGGAGAGGAAGAGAAAAAGGTATATGGGTGTGTTGAGGAATGAATGACTCTGCTATTGAAAAACCAAGTGAATTAAGGGCAGTCAATGTTTTTACAGTCTGACAGCAAAAAGAAAAAAATTGACAGTGTGCTTTCTTCTCGGAACAAAGTCCTTTGTCCATGGATCTGATCTGAAGGTATTTGCTCTTGTTGTCTGGTAACAAATACTAATTTTTGTTTGAAGAGGCTGGCTTTGGTGGTCAGTGCTTTAAATCAGATCTTATGTTGTCTACTGGTACAACCTCACCTCAGTGTTTATACTGCCTTAAATTATTTGAGCATCATGTTTTTGTCCTTTATTTGCCTGACTTCTGTTGCTCACAAGAATGCACAGTGGCAGAGAGCACCCCCTTAAATGGAGATGACCGTGGCTACTTGGTGTCTGGGGAGTACAGCCAGCACAACTTGTTCACTTGCTCCCTCTGCAATGACAAGGAAAAAAATAGTATGCTGTCCCTTTCTCTGCCTTACTTGCTCTGGCACGCTGCTCTGATGCCTTTCCCCAGTCCTCAGTGGTGCACTGCAGTCAGGATTTTGCAGAATGCTAGAGAGAAGCTGGCAAGGGGGTAAAAGCTAGGCAAATGGAAGCTGATCACAAATTTTCTTCAGAGGCAAAAAAATGCAAAGGTGTTATTTTCTGAATGTTTGACTACTAAGAGTAAATGAAAGCTTGCTTCCAAGTGCTTGGCCATTTGGAGGAAAACTATTCCTGTATATTCTGCAAGGCTGGCAATGATTATTAAGCAAAACTTGGTAAGATGAATGAGCTGTATCACTGGTGCACAAAACATGTAGGATATTAATATTATTACAGCATTTTCTCCTGAATATAGAAAAGGATTTCAGAAACAGCATAGAAGGAACAAGAAGCAGGAGGAAGCTCATACTCCTCTGTGCTTAGCTCTAATGCCTGTTCACATCTGCGGTGAAGCTAGTGACTGATGGATGACATATTTGAATTTTACTTTCATACTGCATTACATTCCTTCCTTTGTTTAATTCATTATGTGTTGAAATATTTTGAGTTTTTAGTGACCTGGCTTATAAGTGGGTGGGCAGACAAGCACATGAATTAATGAGAAATGTTGGAACACTGGATCTCAGTAGATGATTAATGCTGGATTTTCTGTTCTTTCTGAAAACTAGTTAGACTTGCTCTTAATCTTCTTACATGTAAGAGTGTGCATTAAACAATCCTTGACATTTTCTTTGCAAGCTTTCTAAAACTGGGGACATACAATGTGACTACTGGTCCATATTGATAGCTGCTAAAACAAAGCTCAGAATAGACATGATTGCACTGCAGTCTCATTTATAAGGAATAGATTTTTACTTTTATCCTTTGTGGTATAATTTCTCTGCCTGTGTTTAAACAGTTTACTGCACTTTGGCAAATAGCATACTGCCCAGAGCTGTCAGTTCTGTTCACTGAGAGGAAAGTACTGTCAGGCAAGAAGAGTTATGCACTGGAAAGCCTTAGGGAAGGTTTTTTGGTTTTCTGGACAGAACACCAGAGAACTTGTCCAGATCCCCAGAGTCCAGGAACTGTACCCAGTAGCCTAATTACCACAAAAATGTTACCTTTTTCCATAGGCCCTGGTCTGTGGAAAAGGCTGATTGGTCCTATTGCAGGATGAGAGCACTCGGCTGTTTCTGGAGTTCCACCTACTTAGGTCTTAGATAAATACAGCCTTTTATTGTCTGAAATTAAGAGGTTTTTTACCTGTCAGCGGTGGAAAATGAGTTCTGGAAACTACTTCAAGGTTTAGGAGGGTATGGATAGAGAGAAAAAGGTAAGCCAAGCAAGAGGTGTACTTTCCTAAATGACTTCTTGAAAAAAAAAAGGAAAGATCACTCTCCTGTCACATTCAATTGTCACAGATTTCTGAAGCCATTTGATCCTTTTAGCGTCACTCATCTGGTCTTAACATGGCTTGTAGGGATATCCATAAAATGTGTGTTTTCTATGTAGGTGCTTAAGGTAGACATGAAAGAAAAGCTTAGCTTGCTGCTTAGAAGCCTGCAGGGTGGTAGGCTGGTAACTGGAAACAAACAAATAGGTCCTTTCATTTGTAAACTGAGTGGATCCCAACTTGTATTTGTTTGGATCCATTTTCAGAGTAGTGTTGCAGTTGATAACATTCTCTGCATCAGTCTGAGGAGGACAAGCAATTTAAAAATATTAAACACCATAACTGATCTACTCTGGCCTCAAATCGGGAGGCCTGGAGACACACCATCTATAACGCAGCTGTCTCCTTTGAGAACACACGCAGGATCACCCTCGAGGAAAAAAGGCAACGCAGAAAGAACCGTGTATTGCAGAATACACCATCTAAGGAGTCTTTCTGCTGTGCCTTTTGCAATCGGATTTGTCTGTCACGTATTGGCCTCATAAACCACCAGCGTGCCTGTAGCAAATGTGGATAGAGCCTTCCCAAATCTTCGTTCGCGAAGCCCAGCCATGATGAAAGGAAAGTTTGTATTTAAGCAGTCATGGCTTCTGGGATTGGAATGAGAAAACCTTGTTTTATTTTAGGTGATTCTGTAGTTATTATCTACATGGTGAGATCTTCAGATGTGAGGATATGGATGGACAACTTACTAGAATAAAAGCCAGGGTGTACAGACTTGGAGCCAACTAGCTACTCTCAGGCAGCTTCTGCTGGTGGGCTGCTCTTTGTCTTAGTTGCACGCAAGATAATTGATTGCACTGTTGCTGAAGGCGATATGATCACAGGCTTGAGCAGCTCAGCATCTGGTAGATGTGCCAGTCTGAGCAAATGAGACTTTCCTGCCTCAAGGTCCCTTGACAGTCTTGATCCAGGATGGTGTCTCAGGTCACATGCAACACACATCGACACTATCAGGCTTTTCAAAACAAATTATACTTTTTATACAGTAAATTGGTGTCTTCAAATAAATGTCAGCAGGTGAGGAAGAGCAGGAACAGTCACTGAAGAAAAGAGAAACAGCCTGTGAAACAAGGATTATTGTCCAGGATTTTCTTTCTGAGCTCTGTGCCCTAACTGCTGATTGAAGAGATTTTTACTCTCTCCTCTCTGCTGTGAATCCGGCATTGTTTTTTCTACTGGAACGGATGAACTGCTTGAATATTTATCCTGGTTCTTGGACAAAGTTTTACAGCCTGGGCAGGCTCTGGCCTAGTTTAGAGTGAGCTTGGATGTGTCTGCATCATTCCTGTAGGCGTAACCTTGCTGATTTCTGCTGGGCCTCGCTTCTGGTTTGCATGAAGCACGAGAATGCAGCTCCAGACTTGTCCCACACTTTCATGTGGGAACCTTTCAGTTTCTTCTTGAAGTCATCACAAGATCATTATGAATCCCTTAAAAATAGATGGCCTTCCCACTTCCAACTGCTAATATGCAGTTAAAAAAATTAAAAAAGCAGCATAGGGTTAGCATTAA